ACAACATGGGTAAACCTTGGAAATGTGCTGGGTGAAAGAAGCTAGTCACAAAAGACGACGTGTTAGATGATTCTGTGTGTTTGAAATGTCTAGAATAAGTGAATGTGCAGACACTGGAAGTTGGTAAGTGGTTGCCTATGTCTGGTGTCAATTGGACAGGTGGTGAAATTTGGGAGTGACTGCTAATGGGCCAGGGGCTTTTTTGGGTGAGGGAGAGAAAAAAGTGTTGTAAAATCGATTATGGTGACAGTTGCACAGCCCTGCAAACACTAGAAACCACTGCAGCGAGTACTCTGAAACATATCTTCATGAAACTGTTATTAAAATAGATTATATTTAGCATTTTTTTAAAAATGTGAAATACTACCTCCTTAGGAAAGACTTTTCAGAAGAGTTGGCATATGTTCTGGGTCTTGTAAGAGTCACAGAATTTCAAGATTCAACTTGAAAGATAATAGGAAGGTGTTTGGGTTATTTATTGTTATACAGCAAGTCACCTCAAAGCCTGTTGGCTTAAAAAAAACCCCACCGTTTAATTTTATAATTTCTCTCCCTTCTGTGGGTTGCCTGATTCTGCCAGTCTTGTTTGAGGTCTTGTGCACGTGTGGTCAGACGGCCGCCGGCGTTGTGTGGGTTCCCCTGGGTGCTGCGAGGGCTGGTTCTCCCCCTCTCTCTGTGCTCTCTCCTACTCTCTCTTCGGCAGGGGTGACTGAGCGTCTTACGTCGTGGCTCAGGGCTCCCAAGGGCAGAAAGCAGAAGATGCCAGTCTTTCTCAAAGCCGGAACCCGGAGCTCGCGCACTACCACTTCTGCGGCTCCACCTTAGTTCATGTAGTGACAGGGCCAGTCCAGGTTCGGAGGCAGAGAAGTAAAACGCCCTCTTGGTATGAGTGGCAGGCTCTGCAGCAGCTGAGTTGCGTTCATCCCGTGTACAAAATCGGCCCTCTTCTCCTCTCCCAAGTCTTCTCTGTTATGGCGCTAAGCCCAAAGTCTGAGGTCTTGCCGTCTGAATGTAGTCAAGTTGCAAGTGACCCTCCTTGGTGCCTTTTCCTCTTGTTCCAAAGACCTGAGAAATATAGAGACAGCCTAATGAGTCAGAAGCAGAACTGCACAGAGGGAGGAGGACAAAAGAGAGGGATATGCCAGTTACTGTTCCACACGAATCCTGAAATGCAGCCAGGCACGCTTTGCCAGTTTCTTCATTAAAACCCAGTCCTGCTCTCTAGGAGGGGTTTTCCATGTTGCTTGTACCTTGCCTTCTGAGTCGTAATTCCGTTTTCATAAGTAATGGCCTGTGTTTGCAGCTCAACTTTCTCAGACTGTTTCCTGCAAAGTGAAGGTCCAAAGTTCTCCCTTCATTTTGGGCATTGTCGACTTCCTATCTGTCTGTCAAATTGTAATCTACTTCATTAGACAAAAGCCACACCCGCAGATCTCTTTGAGACAAGCCTTTCTCTATTTTGGACTGAGAATCTGGGTGCTATTTGACAACACCCTTAAGATTCTGAGAAGTAGCCAGGCACAGTGGCTTGCGCATGTAATCCCAGAACTTTGAGAAACAGGCGAGAGGATCACTGGAGCCCAGGAGTTGAAGACCAGCCTAGCCACATAGCGAGACCTCTTCTCTACAGAAGATAAAAAAAATTAGCTGGGTGTGGTGGCATGCATCTGTAGTCCCAGCTACTTGGAAGGCTGAGACAGACAGAAGGATCACCTGAACCCAGGAGGTTGAGGCTATGGTGAGCCATGATTGTGCCACTGCCCTCCAGTCTGGATGACAGAGTGAGACCCAGACTCAAAAAAAAATTTAAGATTCTGAGAAGATCCCTCATCTAGCTTAGAGAGTTTACAAGACACCAACTTAAGTTTTTCTAAGTTTTAAAAGGTTCTTATAAATACCTTAAGATTTCAACTGTGTTTCATTGAAAGCATCCTGGATTTTATCTTTGCCCCCAGATTCATCTCTTACTTTTCCCAGGACTTTTGCAGGTCGAGATTGTGGATGAGAGATAGTTTTACTTTTATAACACTGAGAATTACAGTTTTTATAGGCTAATAATGGCAATTTGATTATATTAAGAAACTTTTAATCAAGAGTTATAGGAATTGGTTCAAAATTCTACAGTGGTAAAGTATAAGTGGGTGGTGGGTATACAGAGGAAACAAGATTTTGTAATATGTTTGAAAATGTCCAGAATGAAAAGTTGGAAGGGACGGTTGGCAAACCTGGAGAATGGTGCTCTCAAAGCCTGGACAGAGCTTCTACGAATCGTCAGTGGGCAACTTTTATCAGGAGCTGTGGAGAGATGAACAGGAATGGAGACTGACACGATGGATGCCATTGATCTTGGTGGCTATTTTTCATGGCCTTTGCTGCGGCAGTTTTAGTGGAGTGTTTCTATTCAAACTTGGTAGCAACATTTTGAGAAATGCATGGAATATAAGAACTCAGAGAAAGGATATGAGCACTCTTAATATTAAGAAGAGTTGTTTCATTATAAAATACTGTAAATTTAGGATTAAAAAATAATAAAGCAGCCAGGCACATACCTGAAATTCCAGCACTTTGGGAGGCCAAGGTAGGAGGATTGCTTGAGGCCAGGAGTTCAAGACCAGCTTGGGCAACATAGTGAGACCTTGTTTCTACAAAATACTTACTAAAAAAGTTGACCAAGTATGGTGGTGCACACTTGTAGTCTTAGCTATTTGGGAGGATGAGATGTAAAGGTTGCTTGATCCCAGTAGTTAAAAGGCTACAATGAGCCATGATTATACCCCTGCCACTGCACTCCAGCCTGCACAACAGAGAGAGACCGTGCCTAAAAAAAGAAAGAAAGCAAATACTGAAGAGAAGTGTAAAGTGAAAAACCAAAGACGCTGGCTGCTTTTCTTCTCACCTATCCTCTCCTTTTTTTTTCTTTTTTTTTTTATTTTTTTTTGAGTTGGAGCCTCACTCTGTCGCCCAGACTGGAGTGGCCACTCCTGGCCATCGCAGCCTCAGCCTGCTGGGCTCCGGCAATCCTTCCGCCTCAGCCTTCCAAGTAGCCGGAATTACAGGCATGCGCTACCACACCCGGCTGATTTTTTGATTTATTGTAGAGATGAGGTCTCGCAAGGTTGCCCAGGCGGGTCTCGAACCCGCGGGCTCAGGCAATCCACGCGCCTCTGCCTCCCAAAGGCGCGAGATTACAGGCTGAGCCACCGAGCCTGGCCTCTCCTCTCCATTTTTGGTCTATAAGAAGTGTAGCTGCTGGATGAAGGGAGGGCTAACCTCTGTGGGAGAGAGACCGTCCAGGGGGCCATTCCCACATGCCTGTGTCTGAAGGGAGCCAGGGGAAGGAGGGAAACACAGGAATGGGTCGAGGAGCCCAGGAAGATAAAAGGAAGTAGGGGTTCGGTGACCACGTTGAAGAGAAGAGTAGAGAGACTCTATTTTCTTTGGGACTACAGGAAAAGTTATTTCCTTTTTCTCTCAGACTGAATTCTCTGCTGATGATTAGATTTGAATAGGGTTGATGGTGTCTGGTGTGTAGTAACCACAGGAATGAGTAAAAGAATGGTGCGTCCAGCTATGCTCTGAATGACTTTTGCATTGAGGAATGCCATTGTCCAGGGAGATGTGTCACCTCGTGATTGCCGGGGATGTTTCAGTTCTTTGGCTGGCTGGCCAAGGGAGGTGTTTCTTCCTTTCTCTCTGTGCATGTTTACCAAATGATTCACTTCCATTCTTGAGGAGCTCGAGTGGAACTATGGTTCAGTCTTGAGTGCCTTCCTGGCTTTCCCTTTCTGTGACTCCTTGAGCATGTTCTCTGATGTGAAGGAAGAAGCCTGACAAAATGATTACATGGAGACCTCTAACTGGCAGTGGAACTACTGCACTTCCTCTTTTTAAAAAACACGTAGACTAGGCTCCCCGGCTCAGCCTGTAATCCCAACACTTTGGGAGGCTGAGGCGAGTGGGTTGCCTGAGCCTGCAGGTTCCAGACCAGCCCAGGCAATTTGGCAAGACCTCATCTCTACAATAAAATCAAAATCACAGCAACCTTGACTTCCTGGGCTCAGGTGAGCCTTCTGCCTCAGCCTCCCAAGCAGCTGGGAATACAGGCACTTGCCAACACACCTGGCTGATTTTTTAATTTTTTTGTGTGTGTGGAGACACGGTCTTGCTGTGTTGCCCACACTGGTCTCAAACTCCTGAGCTCAGCCAGGTGCAGTGGCTCACGTCTGTCATCCCAGCACTTAGGGAGGCGGAGGTGAGAGGATTGCCTGAACCCATGGGTTTGAGACCAGCCCGGGCAACTTGGTGAGACTTTGTGTCTACAATAAATAATAATAATAATAAATTAGCCGAATGTGGTGGCACATGCCTGTGGTTCTGGCTTCTTGGAAGACTGAGGTGGAAGGATCACCTGAGCCCAGTAGGTTGAGGCTGCAGTGACCATGAGCATGCCACTGCACTCCAGCCTGGGTGACAGAGTGAGACTCTAACTCAAAAAATAAGAAAAAACAAAAATTCCTGAGCTTAAGCAATACTTTTGTCTCAGCCTCCCAAAGCGCCGGGACTATAGACATACATCACCACACCTGGCTAATTTTTTATTTTTGATAGAGACAAGGTCTTGCCAAGTTGCCCAGGCTGGTCTGAAACCCCTGGACTCAGGCAGTCCTCTCACCTCTGCCTCCCAAAGTGCTGGAATGACAGGCATGAGTCACTGTGCCCAGCTTGTTTGCTGTATTTTGAATGTATATAACATTAAGAACAAAACGGTTTTGTATATATAACATTTGGTCTTTGTGTAGCTCGTGTAATATTTTGTACAAATAGAAATGGAAGTGATGTAGAATTGTCTGAATAAATATCTAAAGATTTGTCCTTGTTAAGTATTCCTTTCTGTGTGTGTATATAATTGTTTTTCCTCAGTATTTGCATTATGAAATTTGTTTAGTAATCATTGCATTTAAAAGTTTCTAAAAGAGAGCCTTACTTTTTGTATATTTTAGGAGACCCATGTACAGTATCCTCTCAGTTGGAGTTAGAAGAGGCCTTTAGGCTTTACGAGCTAAATAAGGATTCTGAACTCTTGATTCATGGTAAGAGAAGTCATTTCCTACTCTTCTAGTGCTGTAACTTTTTTTGAAATAGCTCTTCATTCTTGACCATTTAAAACATTTTCTTGATCTCTGTGCCTCATAATTGTCCTTATTCTGTAGTTCCTCATGCTAAAGAAGGTAAAATTAATCTTCTTCTTATAGTCTTGGGAAATTTGCGATCTCTGTATGCCTTCTTAGATATTAAAATGTGATCTCTCACCGGGCTCGGTGACTCAGCCAGTAATCCCAGCGCTTTGGGAGGCTGAAGTGAGTGGCCGCTCCCGGCCACCGCAGCCTCGACCTGCTGGGCTCCGGCGATCCTTCCGCCTCAGCCTTCCGAGTAGCCGGAATTACAGGCATGCACTACCACGCCCGGCTGATTTTTTGATTTATTGTAGAGATGAGGTCTCGCTGCCCAGGCGGGTCTCGAACCCGCGGGCTCAGGCAATCCACTCACCTCAGCCTCCCAAAGGCGTGGGATTACAGGCTGAGCCACCGAGCCTGGCTTACTTTACAGATATTAATGTGTTCAAACCTCAGCAACCATGGGATCTGGGTAGTGGTGCAGAAGAAGAAACCTGACATTAGTGATCATATAACTGCCGTGTTTAAGATCTGAGATGTGAATCTAGGAGTTCTTATTCCAAATTTGCATTCTTTTAATTTCTACTTTGCAAACCCTCTATTTTTTTTTTAGTGTCATGTAGAACCCCCTACATACTAATGCTGCATTTAATTGCAATACATTGACCGTATTTTCTGTAACATTTTGGGGAGCTTGGAAACTCTTTAAAACATGAAACAGCCTGGGCTCAGTTACTCAGCCTGTAATCCTTTTGTCTCAGCCTTCCAAAGTGCTGGGATTACAGGTGTGAAACATCTCACCCAGCCAATGAATTATGTAAGGACAAAAAATAATAATAATAATAAGTAAATGATGAAAAGAGACTGGGATTAGTAACTTGAACTTCTGCATTGTTTACAGATATACTTGTTTTCTTAAGGCCACCTTTTTCTTTGACACCAACAAAGGCAAATCAAACCTTATTTTATATGGCCTTGGTAAAATGAATTCCTTCAACAAATCACATTGACCATGTGCTAAATATCTGGTCTCAAAGGAAGAAGATCAGGTTGAAAAACAGGTTAATTTTTTTCTAACATATACTGTTAATTAATTGTAGTTTATTTTCTTTCAGTATTCCCTTGTGTGCCAGAACGCCCAGGAATGCCCTGTCCAGGAGAAGATAGTGAGTGTCCCTCATAAATTTTATTTATCTGTCTATCTGTCTATCAGTCAATCAATCAATCAATCATCATTCAGTGTCTCACTCAGTCACCAAGGCTGGAGTGCAGTAGCATGCTCACAACCACCACAGCGTTGGCCTTCTGGGCTTTGGCGATTCTTCTGCCTCAGCCTTCCAAGCAGCTAGAACTACAGGCCTATGCCACCACACCCAGCAAATTTTTTTATTTATTGTTGAGACGAGATCTTGCCAAGTTGCCCAGGTTGGTCTCGAACCCCTGGGCCTAGGCAATCTTCTTGTCTCCACCTCCCAAATTGCTGGGATTACAGGTGTGAGCCCCTGCGCCTGGCTATATCCATGACTTTAAAAGAAATAGTGGTAAATGTTTTGCTTTGAATTAAGTGAAATAGTTCTGAACTTTAAATTCTGTGGCTGTACATGCTTCTAGTGAAAAGGGAAAATTAAAGAACTGTGTGTTTATAGTGTGAAATGGGCCATGTTCTATATAGGAAAACGGGAAAATTCAAGAAATGAGGTAGAACCCTGAAACAGTAGTAAAAACTGCAAGTTTGCATTAAGCTGCGAACATCTCTCTGGGGTTCCAGTGGTAGATGAATTAAAGCCATGTAGGCTGCCTTCACAGAGCTGCTGGAGAAGCAGATGTCTTCTCACTTCAGAGCTAGAGTTTTGAAAGACTTGCCGTCGTAGCAGATCTTCTTGGTTCTAGAGTCCCAGCTCCAAAACGACTAAGTTCTGTAACATGCTTTCCAGATAAAATATCTTTTTTTCATTTGAGGTCTCACTCTGTCTCCCAGGCTGGAGTGCAGTGGCATGGTCATCGCTCACTGCAGCCTTGACCCCCTGGGTTCAAGCGATCCTCCCACGTCAGCCTCCTGAATAGCTGGGACTACAGGTGTGCATCACCATACTTAGCTAATTTTTTATTATTTATTTATTTATTTATATTTAAGTTGGAGTCTCACTCTGTCATGCAGGCTGGAATACAGTGGCCCACTCATGGCCACCCCAGCATTGACCTGCTGGGCTCCAGCAATCCTTCTGCCTTAGCCTTCCAAGTAGCTGGAACTACAGGTGCGCGCTACCACGCCCGGCTAATTGTTTGTTTTTTTGATTTATTGTAGGGATGAGGTCTCGCCAAGTTGACCAGGCTGGTCTCGAACCCCTGGGCTCAGGCAGTCCCCTCACCTCAGCCTCCCAAAGTGCTGGGATTACAGGCTTGAGCCACTGCACCCGGACTTTTTATTTTTTGTAGAGATGAGGTCTGGCTATGTTGCCTAGGCTGATCTCAAACTCCTGGGCTTAAGCCATCCTGCCACCTCAGTCTCCCAAAGTTCTAGGATTATAGGCGTAAGTCCCCATGTTCAGCCCTAACTTTTTGGGTGTTAACTATTACTGTGGATGTTATTATTAATGACTGATAGACAATATATATAATGATGGGCCTAATGAAAATTATGAAGGTGAACTAGATTTGATCTTTTGGAATCTCTCTTTAAGTGTATTTAAGAAAAGTATAATATAAAGACCACTGGCCTGGGCATGGTGACTCATGCCTGTAATCCCAGCAGTTTGGTGGGCTGAGGTGGGAGGATCACTTGAACCCAGGAGTTCAAGACCAACCTGGGCAATATAGTGAGACCTCATCTCTACGAAAGAAAAAAGGGAATCAAAAAATTAGCTGGGTGTGTGGTGCATGCCTGCAGTCCTAGGTACTCGGAAGGATGCACTTGAGCCCAGGATGTCGACATGCCACTGCACTCCATCCTGGGGTGACAGAGTGAAACCCTGACTCTCTATAAATGCATAAATTCAATAAGCAACTACTACTGGATGAAAGATTGTTGAAGAGAGAGATACTCTTGCGGCATAAAGTATCACAGATTACATACAAAAAGTAAAATGTGCCCTGACAGTAAAGAGGTCTCCGAGTCACCGCCTTTAAAAGTGATTGAGGGCCGGACTCGGTGGCTCAGTCTGTAATCCCAGCACTTTGGGAGGCCGAGGTGAGTGGATTGCCTGAGCCCATGGGTTCGAGACCCGCCTGGGCAACTTGGCGAGACCTCATCTCCACAATAAATCAAAAATTAGCCGGGCGTGGTAGCGCACGTCTGTATTTCCAGCTACTCGGAAGGCTGAGGCAGAAGGATCGCCGGAGCCTAGCAGGTCGAGGCTGCGGTGGCCAGGAGCGGCCACTGCACTCCAGTCTGGGCGACCGAGTGAGACTCCCACTCAAAAAAAAAAAAAAAAAAGTGATTGAGGCCAGGGTTGGTGGCTCACATCTGTAATCCAGCACTTTGGGAGACTGAACCAGGAGAAACACTTGAGGCCAGGAGTTCAAAACTAGTCTGAGCAGCATAGCGAGATGCCATCTCTACCAGTTTTTGTTTTGTTTTTTTAGCAAAAGTATGTAATAACAGTGATTAAACATCAGTAATGGGAGTTGACATTCTGACATTCATGGGCCTTACAATAAGAAATCCACAAGATCACCTGTTTATTATTTCTGTCAAAAGTATTTAATACTGACTCTTACCATGAGGAAACAGATCCAGAATGTGTGACATTCTGGATCTGTTTTTGTTAAAGTAGTAATACATTGAAGAGACCAAAAAGTCATAATAACCAAATGCAATGTCTGAATCTTGGCTGGATCTTGGATAAGAAAAGAAAACTTTGGAAGGCAATTTGGGAGTAAATTGCATATAAACTGTGTATTGGATGATATGTTAATTTTCTGAGACATGGTAATGGTATTGTGGTTATGTAGAATTAGGGGAATGTCCCTAATCTCAGATAATGAATACTTTTTGGGTATTTAGGGTTATGATGTCTGCATTTTACTTCCAAGTCATTCAGAAAAGAATATGACAAGCAAATATGACAACATTAATAGTTGGTAAATATAGGTGAAAGATGCAGGTGCTTATTATTTCACCTTTCCTGTGCGCTTAAAGAATGTTCAATAAAAACTTGAGATTTGGTTTTTTTTTTGAGTTGGAGTCTCACTCTATCGCCCAGGCTGGAGTGCAGTGGCACACTCATGGTCTCCGCAGCCTCGACCTGCTTGGCCCCGGCAATTCTTCTGCTTCAGCCTTACGAGTAGCCAGAACTACAGGCGCGCTACCACGCCCGGCTAATTTTTGATTTATTGTAGAGATGCGGTCTCGCCAAGTTGCCCAGGCGAGTCTTAAACCCATGGGTTCAGGCAATCCTTTCACCTTGACATCCCGAAGTACTGGGATTACAGGCGTGAGCCACCGCAACCAGCCTGGAAATTTTAAAAAAAAGAACAGTGACAGTAGTCAAACATTCACATGAAACATGGTCTCTGTCTTCATCCAGTCCCTTGATGGGTCCTGTTTTACCTTTTCACGTTCAGGTTCTTATTTTTGTTTTTTTCTTGTAATGCATATCATGAAAAAAGTCACAGACTTAATTATAAAATGACTTTTACTTACACTTATTCTCTTTTGTCAATTGCTAATTTTTCTTCAGAATCCATCTATCGCCGAGGTGCACGTCGCTGGAGAAAGCTTTATTGTGCAAACGGCCACACTTTTCAAGCCAAGCGATTCAACAGGGTAAACTTAGTTTGTTGATAATTTGAGGCAACTAATTTTTTCTTTTCTACTATGAAAGAAAGATGATTTTATTTTTAAGTCTTGTTATTCCCTTTGAAATAAATAAGTAGAGCAACTTTACATTTCCGGTTTGCCTGGGGCAGTATCCTTATAATTTTTAATTGCATTTCACTGTTAAAATGCTACAGATTTGATGATTAATTATTTCAATTAATATACCCTAGCTATAAGAAGACTGGATTTTTAAATGAAAATTCAAGGCAGCCAGAAAATAGGCAAGGCTTATTTAATGTTTATTTTGCCATTTAATATTGTAACTTGATTTTCACTGTTTAAAAAAAAAATAGCAAGTACTTGTTTGGCTTTTACTATGTACCATGCACTTTTCCAAATGCTTTACATATATTGATTCGTTTAATTCCTGAAACAACCCTGTAAGATAGGTGCACTGTATTTCCATTTTATAGATGAAGAAACCCAAGTACAGGGCAGTTAAGGAACTAGCTCAAGATGACGTAGCTGGAAAGTGGGAGAGCCAAGGCTTGAAAGCAGGCAGTCTGTCTCCAGAAGTCAGTGCTTTGGACTACTCTTGATAATTGAAAATCTGTGGATGCCATTTTCATTCTAAAACTAATGTAATGTCCTAAAAGTTCATGAATGTAGACAGAAACCAGTACCTGACAGGCCAGGTGCCATGGCTCACGCTTATAATCCCAGCATTCTGGGAGGCCGCGTTGAGAGGATTGTCTGAGCCCACGGGTTGGAGACCAACCTGGGCAACTTGATGAGACCTCATCTCTACAATAAATCAAAAAATTAGCCGGGCGTAGTGGCATGTGCCTGTAGTTCCAGCTACTTGGAAGACTGAGGTGGATCGCCTGAGCCCAGCGGGTCTCTGAGGCTGCAGTGGCTGTAAGCTTGCCACTGCACTCCAGCCTGGGTGACTGAGTGAGACTCCAACTCAAAAAAACACACAAAGAACAAAAAAAAGCCCACCTCCTGGAATTCCCCAACTCTTTTATTTCTAGTATTTGAAGCCTTCTCATATTTAAGAAGGCTTCAAAATGAAAAGTCAGTTTAGGTATTGCTCTTTAAAAAAGCAGGACTTTGGTTTAACCTCTGAACAATCTAGAAAGTTTGTTTGCTTAGGAATCCTTTAATGGTTTTTTCTGCCTTATATATGTTTACTTAAATTCACTTTCTCTGTTTTCATTACCCTGAACTTAATTATGTGAAGACTGAAAATTCTTAGACTTATAACAAAAAGCGCTGTGATTGCAAATTTCACTCTCTTTAAAACAGGCTCTCATTCCTGTTTATTTTTCACTGACCTTTACAGCTTTTGAAAATTACATATGAGAAAGTTTTGTTCTGTTTTTACTATGAGCTGGCAGTTGACACCATGAGGAAGGGAATTGAGTTAGAGAAGAAGGCCATGTATTTTTACTATTTTGTGAACAAAATTGTGAAATGATTCTGACTTTTTTTGTTAATAAAATATTGTTGAATTACTCTTTTTAGCGAGCTCACTGTGCCATCTGCACGGACCGAATATGGGGACTCGGACGCCAGGGATATAAGTGCATCAACTGCAAACTCCTGGTTCATAAGAAATGCCATAAACTTGTCACAATTGAATGTGGGCGGCATTCTTTGCCACCGGTAAGACACAGTTGTTTGTTTATTCATTTATTTTTAATATATAAAGAGCATGCCTGATGACACTACTAGAACAGAGGGCTGAAGGAGGGAGGCATTAAGGAGTTCTGTCACAAGAGTTGTTACAGAGTGGTGGTAGAAATACTTTGCATTCTCGTTGACATATTGTGAACTTTCGAAATAACTATGACAGTATTTCTTTGTAGGATACAGTTAGCTTATTTGTTTGACGTATACTGTCCTCTGGTCTACATTAGGAAGATACAGGGAGAACAACTTAACAGACTTTTTTTCGTTTGTAATCTAAACTTATTAGTTTAATTATTCTAACCATCTTTCCTAAGCAGATAAAAGGTAAGAAGAGTCAGAGGCATCATATTTACTGTTTAAAGTGTGACATTACTGGGGAGAAAAGCATTCAACATTTTTACTTTTCATTTTCTTTTTTTCTCTTTTTGATTGGAGTCTAATTCTGTTGCCCATGCTGGAGTGCAGTGGCATACCCACAGCCACTGCAACCTCAACCTGCTGGGCTCAAGTGATCCTTCTGCCTCAGCCTTCAGAGTAGCTGGGACTACAGGTGTGTGTCACCACGCCTGGCTAATTTTTTGATTTCTTGTGAGATGAGGTCTCGCCAAGTTGCCCAGGCTGGTCTCCAACCCATGAGCTCAGACCATCCTCTCTCTTCAGTCTTCCAAAGTGCTGGGATTATAGGCACAAGCCACCACGCCCAACCTCTTGTACATATTTTTAGCAGAGGTTAGATCATACACATACCTGTTTCTAACTCGTTTTTCTCTCTGTACAATATGTTTTGGTCATCTTTCTATATCTATATGTATCTTCATCATTTTATGTCTTTACCATAATTTATTTAACCTTTTCCCTGTGATTGAACATCTCAGTTTTTAAAATTTTCATATAAAGAAAATAATAGTGAACTTTCTAGTAAATGCGTCTCATTTCCTTAGGGATCCAGAAATAGGTTTACTGGGTTATAAAAGATATGCTTTTTTTTTTCTTCAAAAGATCTGTGTATATCTTTCTAATTTGTTCTCTAAATGGTTACATCATGTTTATTCATAGGACCTTCTTTGGACATTGTGAAAGTAGGTTATTACAGGGAGTTCTTTAGTATTAGAATTATTTAGGTAATTCATATAAGCTTAAGAATGGATTTGAAGCCACATGGTGGCTCAGCCTATAATCCAGTGCCTTTGGGAGGCTGAAGTGACTGGATTGCCTGAGCCCATGGGTTCGAGACCCGCCCAGGCTACTTGGCGAGACCTCATCTCTACAATAAATCAAAAAATTAGCCGGGCGTGGTAGCGTGCACCTGTAGTTCCAGCTACTTGGAAGGCTGAGGCGGAAGGATCACCGGAGCCCAGCAGGTCGAGGCTGCGGTGGCCGAGAGCGGCCACTGCACTCCAGTCTGGGCGACAGAGTGAGACACCAACTCAAAAAAAAAAAAAGAATGGATTTGTAATTGGGGGAAGATCCAATCTTAAGGAAAAACAAAAGCTAAGAATTTCAGACATAATTTATCTAGTTTACTATTGATATTCTAGGTGAGGGAATGCCTGTGTTCATGTAGCAGGAAAGAGTAGCAGAGTTAATGATTATATTGATATTTTGGGAGAGAGGTTAAAGCATTTAAATATCTGTATCGGCCAGGCTCGGTGGCTCAGCCTGTAATCCCAGTGCTTTGGGAGGCTGAGGTGAATGAATTGCCTGAGCCCGCGGGTTCGAGACCTGCCTGGGCAACTTGGTGAGACCTCATCTCTACAATAAATGAAAAATTAGCCGGGCATGGTAGCGCGTGCCTGTAGTTCCAGCTACTTGGAATGCTGAGGTGGAAGGGTCGCTGGAGCCCAGCAGGTCAAGGCTGCGGTGGCCCGGAGCGGCCACTGCACTCCAGTCAGGGTGACAGAGTGAGACTCCAACTCAAAAAAAATAAAATAAAATAAATAAATAAATATCCATAAATCTTACTTATGAGCCAATCTTTGAGGCAGCCTTGAAATTATGACTATAATTAATGTTCTTTCTCGGGTTTACCTTTTCGTACTGGTAGTAACTAAACTTGGACCCAAGATTAATTAGTAGCAATTTGGGTTTGAATTAGCATTGTTCCTGAGGTTATTGGCAGATAGTTGGTTAAGTCAGTTTCTGGGAGGTTTTTCTTTTTCGGGGTCACTGGCACCTGTGATAATCTTCAGAAAAATGATAAGCCCACAAAATTGTATATATAATTTTAATAGGTATACAGACATCATGAAGTCTCTCTCTGGACCTTAGCTAAATAACTCATATTCTAGAGACTCGTTTTGCCAAAGACATAAAGTGGAGCTCAAAGGAAGACTAGGTCATGTAGGAGAGAAGCACATCAGAGCATGATTACCTCATTCACAGGAATATTGTGTGGTTTTATAAAATATATTTAAAAATAAATTAAATATGGTAATATAATTCTTACTAAGTTACATTCTTTCAAAATTAAATTTGGAATGCTGCGTCTCATTGAAATAATGTTGTAACTTACGAAAATATAGTTGTTTCTGGATTTATAGAGGTATTGGGATTTTAAAAGAATCCACCAAGTTACTCTCTCTTCGGAAATGTTTGTAGGAACCCATGGTGCCCATGGATCAGTCCTCCTTGCATTCAGACCATGCACAGACAGGTAAGAACAGCACTGGCACAAACTACCATTCGTTAACAGAGTAGTATTTAAATACTTCTTTAGGTGATTCTTTTACCTGAGTGTAAAGACATTTATATTCTTCCCAAATAAAACTAGGTAAGCATATTTTGTGGTGGTGATATGTTATGATATTTTAACATACACATTTGGCATTAATAAAAAAAGTATATAAACAGCAACAAATGACTCTTTTTTCTCGCTCAGAGAAATTTCTTTTGAGACCCCTTTAAATTCAGCAAACTCAGTTTTTTCCCAGAATAAGAAATATGAGACTGATTTCGTGGTCCATGTTGACTATGTTCAGGTGACCTGTTTTTATTAAAAGCTTTATTTTCAAAAGTAGAAATTATTTGAAAGATACAGCAATACAGTATAGGGAAATTCTAGAAAGAATGTGAATTAAAATGTTAGATAGAGCTAGGCATGGTGGCTCATGCCTGTAACCCTAGCACTTTGGGAGGTGGAGGCGAGAGGATTGCCTGAGCCCAGGAGTTCAAGAGCAGCCTGGAACATAGCAAGACCTTGTCTCTACAGTAAATCAAAAAATTATCTGGGTGTGCTGGCGCACGCCTGTAATTCCAGCTACTTGGGATAGCTGAGGCTGAAGGATCGCCTGAATCCAGCAGGTCGAGGCTGCGGTGGCCATGAGTATGCCACTGCACTCTAGCCTGGAGGAAGAGTTAGATAGAAGACCAAGTGCAGTGGTTCATGCTTGGAATCCCAGAGATTTGAGAGGCCAAGGTGGGAGGATCCTTTGAGGTCAGGATTTCAAGACCCGCATAGTAAGACCCTGTCTCTACAGAAAATTTTTTTTTTATTTAGCCAGTTGTCTCAGCCTATAATCTCAGCACTTTGGGAGGCCGAGGTGAGTGGACTGTTTGAGCCCACTGGTTCTAGACCAGCCCGGGTGACTTGGTGAGACCTCATCTCTACAATAGTTAAAAATTTAGCCAGGCATGGTAGCATGCACCTGTACTTCTGGCTACTTGGAAGGCTGAGGCGGAAGGATTGCCAGAGCTCATCAGGTTGACGCTGGGGTGGCTGTGAGCGTGGCACTGCACTCCAGCCTGGGTGATGGAATAACACACCAACTCAAAAAAAAAAAAAAAATGAGCCAGTTGTGGTGGTGTCTACCTGTGGTCTCAGCCCCTCAAGAGTCTGAGGCAGGTGGATCCCTTGAGCTCCCAAGATCTAGACTGTATGATTACACCACTGCTCTTCCATCTGGGTGACAGAGCAGGACTTTGTCTCTTAAATTAAAAAAATAAAAAGCAAGAAAGGCGTAGATACAAAACCTTAAACACACATCTAGGAAATTTCAAGAGCAATGAAAGGGTTAGAGCAGCCTGATCTCCGAACTGAATCGAGACAGAGAAGACAAGATAGTTTTTCTGGAAAGACAGAATGCAGTCTCTTGGCTATAGAAGAAGCTGTCTATATAAAATCTGCCCCAAGTGGCTTTAGGAAGTGTCTATCCTTATCATTTCAGGAGTATGAAGGTAGTGAGTGAGAGCTGAAAGCCATAGGTCTTCTGTCTCAGTCTTACGAAAAGATTTAAACGTAGTTTATAGCGTCATCCCTTTAAGAGCAAAGAAAAAAAGTTGACTAATTTGCAAAGAAGAGAAATTCTAAAAAATAGCAAAATATTTGTTAAAAGTAGTACTTGGCTATCAGGTTGATGCTTGCTGTCTTTACCTTCACTGAAGGCTGGGATTTGACTCTTACACGTACATACAACTTGTTATTAGTAGGACAGGGATTCTGTTTTAAATAATAAAAACTTCTTTGGAAGTAGAAACTAATAACAAGCAGAAGAAAATCTTTATGTCAAACTTATTAACGGATGCTATGTTTTCTCCCCTCTCCTTCTTTTAAAAATGTTTGGGATTGCATTTTCAGTAATTCCGTATAATCCTTCAAGTCACGAGAGCTTAGACCAAGTTGGTGAAGAAAAGGAGGTAAGATAATTTCTCATTGTACATTATATCATTTGCTTTTTAATAAGATGTAATAATTATAAAAGTATGATACACTTACTGGCCTGCTTACTTTTAGACTATAATGGTAATAATTTAGTGGGCTAACTTATTTTCATTTTAATATAGCTTATTCTAAAAATTATAATGTATGTAAGAATGCTCTTTATAATACTTATTTAATATATATTGTAGATTGCTCCATTTCGTGGACTGATTGCCTATTTAGAGTACAAATAGTTAAGCATGTTAACTGTTATTTTTTCTATTAAGCATTTTATCCATTTTTAAATACATTTTAAAATAAATAATTAAAATGATAATCAGGTTTTTGAAAAAGACTTGTAGTGAAAAAGATCATGCCTCATATCTTCCACTGCTAGTTTGACTTAGAAGCAACCTTTATTTTTTTATTTTTTATTTTTTTGAGTTGGAGTCTCACTCTGTTGCCCAGACTGGAGTGCAGTGGCCGCTCCCGGCCACCACAACCTCGACCTGCTGGGCTGCGGCGATCCTTCTGCCTCAGCCTTCCAAGTAACTGGAATTACAGGCATGTGCTACCACGCCCGGCTGATTTTTTGATTTATTGTAGAGATGAGGTCTTGCTGCCCAGGCAGGTCTCGAACCCACAGGCTCAGGCAATCCACTCACCTCAGCCTCCCAAAGGCGCAGGATTACAGGCTGAGCCACCGAGCCCGACTGAAGCAACCTTTTTAACCATATTTTATTGTGTCCATAATGTTTGCGAGGGGAGACCCAAAAAAAACCCAGAATCATTTTTTGAAGGCGGGTCCCTTGTAGTTCAGGCTTTCCCCAGTAGATAAGTATTCTAGGAACCCATTGGCATCAGTGTACCAGTTAGAATGTTGTGAAGGGCTGTGTTCAGCTTCGGTGAATTTTTTTTAGAGTCACATTCGCCTGTTTCGTCATGGGTGATTTACGAGCTCACTTGCCCACATCATGCTGAGTGTTCAGCAGTTTTTGACCAAAACCAGCATGGCCTCTGAGCTCTGCCCCCGTTTACCTGATCTTGCCCTGAGTGACTTTTTTGGTTTGTTTCTCCTGGATGAAAAAAGTCCTCAACAAGAAAAGTTTTACCTGTGTGGAAGAGGTGAAACAAAAAGCAACAGAAGCACTAAAAGGCATAAAATTGATGAGTTCAAAAACTGTTTTGAGCAGTGGAGAAAGCATCTTGATAGGTCTGTTTCATCAAACAGTCCTTTGAAGGTGACTAAAGTTTAAACATGTAAAAATAAGTACACAGTTTTTATAAATCCTTTTTTTGGGGTCCCCCCATATGTCTCTATTTTTCAAGTCTATCTTTTTCCGACCATGAATGATTTAGCTCACACGACCTTCCCTTCTTCCCTTCTGTTTCCAGTATTTGATAGGTATGTTATAGTTTGCTCTTCTTATAGTTGCCCTTTTAAAAACTCTTTCTTTTGTTTTGTTTTTGTTTTGAGTCGGAGTCTCCTCTGTTGCTCAGGCTGGAGTACAGTGGCTTGCTCACGGCCACCACAGCCTCAACCTGCTGGGCTTAGACGGTCCTTCTGCCTCAACTTTCCAAGTAGATGGGACTGTAGGCGTGTGCCACCATGTTTGGCCAGTTTTTTTATTTACCGTAGAGGCAAGATCTTGCCATGCTGCCCAGGCTGGTCTCCAACTCCCAGGTTCAGGCAGTCTTCTCACCTCAGCCTCCCAAAGAGCTGAGATTACAGGTGTGAGCCACTGCGCCTGGTATTAAAAATCCAACTTTTGGCCATTGCAGCCCTTGCCTTGCTAAGCTGTGGTGTGCTCTTTGAGCTGTGTGCTCTTTGAGCTATGGCCAGGCCATGTTTCTGACTTTGGCCCAATCCCCTGCCTTGGAGAGGTGAATCGCTTCTTTCTTTCTCTCTCTCTCTTTCTAATTTAGCTTTAAATAAACTATATTTTCTCATCTAAAAAAAAAAATCCAACTTTTTATTATGGAAAATTTTAAATGTAGGTAAAAGTAGTCAGAGTGGTATAGCAAAGTCTCTGTATCTATTTATTATCCAGTTAAAAAATCATTAGTTCATGACAAGTTTTGTTCTGTCCACCCACTTCCGTCACTCCCATATTATTTTGAGCCACATCTGTTGCTCACCTGTTTAATCTCATATCTTAGTTTCGTGTTCTATTTTTTTATTTGTTTGCTTGTTTGAGAAAGTATTTCTCCCTCACTCTTTTTTCTTTTATTTTTAGTTGACACCTAGTAATTGTACATGTTTATGGGATAGAGAGTGGAACACATATGGAATGCTTCATCAATTTGCATGTCATCCATGCACAGGGTCCGTGCTGATTTTCTCTGTATGGTTCCAGCTTTAGTGTAAGTGCTGCTGAAGCAAGCACGTCTTTACTTAGTGTCTTGTTTCTCCTTCAGCAACCCGAGTTCCCTGTAGATTCTGGAGAGTAGGCCTTGTTGGATGCATAGTTTGCAAACATTTTCTCCCATTCCGTAGATTATCTATTTACTCTGTTGATGGTTTCTTTTGCTATGCGGTAGCTCTTTCATTTAATTAGGTTCTACTTTTCAATTTTGGTTTTTGCTTCATTTGCTTTGGAGGACTTGTTCTTGAATTTGTTGCCTAGGCCGATGTCCAGGAAAGTGTTTCCTAGGTTTTCTTTTAGGATTTTTGTAGTTTAAAATCTTAGGTTTAAGTCATTAGTCCATCTTGAGTTAATTTTAGTGTATGGTGAGAGGCAGAGGTCCAGCTTCATTCTTCTGTATGTTACCCAGTTTTCCCAGCACCATTGGTTGAAAAGGGTTTCCTTTCCCCAGTGTTTGCTTCTGTCAACTTTGTCAAAGATGAGTTGCTTGTAGGGCAGTGGTTTTGTTTCTGGGTTCTCAGTTCTGTTTCATTGGTCTGTGTGTCTGTTTTTGTGCCAGAACCGTGCAGTTTTGGTTCCTGTAGCCTTGTAGTAAAGTTTGAAGTCTGGCACTACGATGCCTCTGGCTTTGTGCTTTTCGTTTTGGGTTGCTTTGGCTACCTGGACTCTTGCTTCCATATGAGTTCACGTATCGTCTTTTTCTAATCTCTGAAAAATGATGCCAGTAGTTTGATAGGGATTGCATTGAATCTGAAGATTGTTTTAGGCAGTATGAACATTTTCATGATGCTGATTTTTCCAGTCCATGAGCATGGCATGTTTTTCCATTTGTTTATGTCACCTTTGGTTTCTTTTAGCAGTATTTAGTAGTTCTCATTGTAGAGATCTTTTCTCTTTTGTTAGATGTATTCTAAGATAGTTTTGTTTTGTGGCTATTGTAAATGGGATTGTATTCTTGATTTGGTTCTCAGCTTGGATGTTGGTGTATAGAAATGCAACTGATTTTTGATTGTTGGTTTTTGTACCCGGAGACTTAACCAAAGTCGTTTTATCAGTGCTAGGAATGTTTTGGCAGAGTCTTTAGGGTTTTCTAGACGTGGAATCTTATCATCTACAAAGGTAGATGATTTAACTTCTTCTTTTCCTATTTGGATGACTTCTGTTTCCCCTCTTGACTAATTGTTCTGGCTAGGACTTCCAGTAGTATGTTAAATAGTACTGGACAGTAGCCTTTTATCAGCTATATTTTCTCACACTCTGTGACTGTTTTCACTCTCTTAATGGTGTCTCTTGATGAACAGATATACTTGATTTTTTAAAATAAGAGACAGAATCTCCCTCTGTTGCCCAGGCTAGGGTGTATGGAAGTGATCATAAATCACTTCAGTCTCAAACTCCTGGGCTCAAGCAACCCTCTGAGTAACTGTTGGTATAGGTATGCACTACCACACCCACCCAGCTAATGTAAAAAAAAAATTTTTAGAGACAGAGTCTCACTGTGTTGCCTAGGCTGGTCTTGAATTGCTGACCTCATGTGTTCTTCCCACCTCAGTCTCCGATGTAGCTGGGATTACAGGTAGAGGTCACTGTGTCCGGTTCCTGGTTTTTATTAATTTCTTTTAGTCACTGCCTCCCAAAGTGCTGGGATTACAGGCGTGAGCCCTCATGCCTAGCTAGGGTTAATTGTTTAATGTTGGTTTATAGAAACAAGTTTTTGGGGGGTTTTTTCCCTCTAAATTGCCCTTATGTTCTTGCTAAATTCACTTATTCTAATAGCTAGTCCAGGCATGGTGGCTCATACCTGTAATCCCAGCACTTTGGGAGGTAGAGGCAAGAAAGAGGGTTGCCTGAGCCCAGGGGTTTGAGACCAACCTGGGCAACTTGGCAAGACTGCTTCTCTACAATAAATCAAAAAATAAGCTGGGTATGATGGCATGTGCCTGCAATTCCATTTACTTGGAAGTCTGAGGCAGAAGGATTGCCAGTACGTTGAGGCTGCGGTAATCACGAGTGTACCATTGCACTTCAGCCTGGGCAACAGAGTGAGACTGCGACTCAGAAAAAAAATCTAATAGCTTTCATATAGATACTTTTAGATTTTTTTTACATAGGTAGTCAATTCATTGTGAATAGTGGTCATTCTTTTTTTCTAAATCTTAGAGCTTATATTAGTTTTTTGCCTTTTTGAATTTGCAAGAACCTCTGCAGATAACCAAAATGATGATGAACAGAAGTGCTAATCAGACACCATAGTTTTGTTGTGCATCTCAGAGAGAACCCTTCCAGTATTTTATCATTAAGTTTGATGTCTGCCTTAGGTTTTTTTGATAGAGACCCCTCATCAAAATGAGGGCATTTATCTATATTCCTATTTTACTAAGGTTTCTTTTGTTCATCATAAAAAGATGTTGGATTTTATCAATAACATTCGCATTTGTTGAGTTGATTATATATAAATGTCATTAATTTTCATATGTGAAGCCTGTTTTTCATTCCTGGAATAAATCCCTGTCATGGTATATTGTTCTTTTTATACATGGTACATTTGATTTGCCAATATTTGGGGGGTTTTTTGGAGGTCTTTTGTTTGTTTTAAAATATTAATGAGAGATAATAACTTGTAATTTTCCCCTTTTGTTATTGAATTGCCAAGTTTTGGTATCAAGATAATGCTGACCTCATAAAATGATTTGTGAAGTGTCCCTTTTGTTGTTATTGTTTCTATTCCCAAGGAGGGCTTTCATAAGATTGGTATTATTTCTTTCTTAAATTTTTTGTTTGTTTGTTTGTTTTGGTTTTTGTTTTTGAGTTGGAGTCTCACACAGTTACCCAGACTGGAGTGCAGTGGCCGCTCCTGGCCACCGCAGCCTCGACCTGCTGGGCTCCGGCGATCCTTCCGCCTCAGCCTTCCAAGTAGCCAGAATTACAGGCATGCGCTACCACGCCCGGCTGATTTTTTGATTTATTGTAGAGATGAGGTCTCGCTGCCCAGGCGGGTCTCGAACCCGCGGGCTCAGGCAATCCACTCACCTCAGCCTCCCAAAGGCGCGGGATTACAGGCTGAACCACCGAGCCTGGCCTTTCTTAAATTTTTAAAAGATTCACCAGGAAACCATTCTGGACCTGGCCATTTTCTTTCTGAAAAAGATTTTAATTTTGAATTCTATGTCTAAGTAAATTTAGGACAAATCAGATTCTCTTCTTATATCTAGGAATCTGTCTAATTAACCTAAAATTTCGATTTATTGACATGACGTTGTTCATTCCTGAGGATATAAGGTGCTATCCTTTTTTATTCCTGGTAAAGGTTATTGTGTATTTTCTTTTTCTTCCATCAGTCTTGCCAGGGTGATATTAATTTGTTAGTATTTTCATGGAACAGTCTTTTGGCTTTTCTCATTTGAATGCTTGTTTTTTAATATGTGTGTGAAACAGTGAAAGTATTGTTAATAGTTTTATTCATAGAGAAAATGCCTTTCTGCCTTTAGTGCTGCTGTTGTCGTATTTTCAAGAGTGTGTGTGTTTGTGTGAGAGAGAGAGAGAGAGAGAGAGAGATTAGTTACTTTTTATTTTTTTGAGTTGAAGTCTCACTCTGCTGCCCAGGCACATTCACAGCCACCTCAGCTCACATGAGTCAGAGAATGTGTTATGTGTGGCTTTAGTCCTTTGAGTTTTGTTGAAATTCAATGTTCCATACCTTTTTTTTTTTTGAGTCGGAGTCTCACTCCGTCGCCCAGACTGGAGTGCAGTGGCCGCTCCCAGCCACCGCAGCCTCGACCTGCTGGGCTCCGGCGATCCTTCCGCCTCAGCCTTCCAAGTAGCTGGAATTACAGGCGCGTGCTACCACGCCCAGCTAATTTTTGATTTTATTGTAGAGATGAGGTCTCACCAAGTTGCCCAGGTGGGTCTCGAACACGCGGGCTCAGGCAGTTGATTCACCTCAGCCTCCCAAAGTGCTGGGATTACAGGCTGAGCCACCGAGCCTGGCTCCATACCTATTTTTTAATACGATGTGTATTTTTTAATTTTTTGTAGAGATGAGGTCACACCACGTGGTCCAGGCTGAGCTTAAGCAATACTTCCACCTCAGCCTTCCAGAGTGCTGGGGTTACAGTCATGAGCCACCATGCCCAACCAAATGCTTATTTTCTATTCTAGTGCATTGATTTCTCCTCTCATTATTTCACTATGCTTTTTTGTCATTAACTTTAAAATACATCCTAATTTTTATTATGATTTTTTCTTTGACCCATACATTATTTTAAAGAACACTGCTTAATTTTCTTTTTTTTTTGAGTTGGAGTCTCACTCTGTCACCCAGACTGGAGTGCAGTGGCTGCTCCCGGCCACCACAGCCTCGACCTGCTGGGCTCCGGCGATCCTTCCGCCTCAGTCTTCCGAGTAGCTGGAACTACAGGCGTGTGCTACCACGCCTGGCTGATTTTTTATTTATTGTAGAGATGAGGTCTCACCAAGTTGCCCAGGCGGGTCTCAAACCCACAGGCTCAGGCAATCCACTCACCTCGGCCTCCCAAAGCACTGGGGTTACAGGCTGAGCCACCGAGCTTGGCATGCTTAATTTTCAAATATTGGGAGATATTTTTTGTTATGGTTTTCTAGAATAATTCCTTCCTCCTCAGTCTTCCAAGTCGCTAGAACTACAGATGCATGCCACGCCCAGCTAATTTTTTTTTTGTACAGTCGAGGTCTCGCCTTGCCAAGTTGCCCGGGTGGTCTCAGGCAGTCTACTTGCCTCGGTCTCCCAGAGTGCTGGGGTTACAGACTGAGCCACCGAACCTGGTCACGATTAGTACTTTTAAGCAGTCATTGCTTATTTAGATATTCCATATTTTACCCTTTTTATTCTTTGCTCCTTCCTGCATGCAGCTCTGTTCCTCCATATGAGATCATGCTTTTTTTTTTTTTTCTTGAATCATTCAATTTAGTATTTCTTTAGTTAGCGCCTACTAGGGATTGCTTCTCTCGGTTTTTGTTTGTCTGAAAATGCTTTTACTTCGCTTTCATTTTGAGAGTTATTTTTGCAGGATACAGAATTTTAGGTCTGCAGGGGATCTTTTAGGCCCTTTGCAGGTGATGTTCTGCTGCTATCTCGTGTCTGTCATTTCATTCGGCTTCATTATTGTGTCTGAAGTGCAGCACTTTTTTTAATTCATATGATTTTCTTGTAGTTTTCAGTTGGCCATATCTAAAGTCTATACATGACCTGTTTTCTTACCATTCTTTTCTTTCTTACCCTGCCCAAATCTGCTTTCTTTTCGATTTGCTTTATGTATCCTTGGTGTTGAATCAAATGATGACTTCTAAATTCTCATGCATGACCTTTTTGCTTTGTCATTCTCGCTCAGTTTTCCTAGCACTCTTCTTGATGTTTCGTGCTTATTGGCTTCTTTATTTGTCTCGAAATTTGCTCTTCGCTTTTCTTGATGCTCTTTCCTTCAGAGAATTATTACTTTATTCTTGTGCTTGTCTGTTGATCATGTGCTGGTGGTTTTGCAGGTGTCTAATAAAAGATCATCTTTAGCCTTTTTATGGATTGCCAGAAGCTTACATTTCTAGCTGTGAATGAATGATAAGTCCTGTTTTGTCATCCCCCAAGGACCTTGGTGTTCTGTGAAAAAGAATGTCTTCCACTAGTTGAACTAGCTGCTTCATGTTTGTTTTCTGCCTATGGCTTCCAAAAATACCTCTGAATGTATCCTTTCACCAGCTTAAATTTCATATATCAAGCTTCCAGAAGACTCTTCCATCTTTTTGTTTTGTTTTTTGTTTTGTTTTGGTTTTTGAGTTGGAGTCTCACTCTGTCGCCCAGGCTGGAGTGTAGTGACATATCCACAGCTATCGCAGCCTCGACCTCCTGGGTTCAAGTGATCCTTCCGCCTCAACCTTCCAATAGCTGGAACTACAAGTATGCGCCACCATGCCTGGCTAACTTTTTGATTTACTGTTGAGACGAGGTCTTGCCAAGTTGTCCAGGCTCGTCTCGGAACTCCTCAGTTCAGGCAGTGCTCTCACTTGTGCCTCCCAAAGATCTGGGATTGCAGGCGTGAGCCACTGGACCTGGCCAGACTCTTGCATCTTGGTGTCCCATTGTTACTTGCAAATTCATTGTGAAAAACCAAACCATCATCTCCAGTAACTTAATTAGTCTTAACTCTATCCACACAGTTTATTTACCCTGTCAATGGTACCCCCAGTCTCCCAGTCACTAAATTTAATGTCATTTTTATATTCATGCATTTCCATTACCCTTCTACCCAAATGTTATCATGTCCTTGTATGACATTCTCTAATATGTTTCAGATTTCAGCTCTTTCCCTAGTCCTGTTACTACTCGTCTAACTCAACTCTCTTGGGTAGTCAGATTATTATGGTTTGAAATGATATAAAAAAGAATTAAGCATTTAAGGGTTTTTTTTGTTTGGTTTTTGTTTTATTGTGTGTTTTCTTTTTTTTTTGTTGAGTCGGAGTCTCACTCCATCGCCCAGGCTGGAGTGCGGTGGCACCCCAGCGTCAACCTGCTGGGCTCCAAAGATCCTTCCGCCTCAGCCATCCAAGTGCCAGAACAGGTGTGTGCCACCATGCCTGGCTAATTTTTTTGATTTATTGTGGAGACGAGGTCTCACCAAGTTACCCAGGCTGCTCTCAAACCCACAGGCACAGGCAATTCACTTACCTCAGCCCCCCAGAGTGTTGGGATTGCAGGCTGAGCCACCAAGCCCAGCTGTTTTTCGTTTTTTGTGTTTTTTTTTAATCTCACTCTGTCTCCCAGGCTGGAGTGCAGTGGCATATCCATGGCCACTACAGCCTGGACCTGCTGGGCTCAGGAGATCCTTCTGCCTCAGCCTGCCAAGTTAACTAGAACTACAGACACAGGCCACCATGCCTGGCTAGTTTTTTTATCTGTTGTAGAGACGAAGTCTCGCCTGGTTGCCCAGCCTGGTCTTGAACCCCTGGGCTCAGTCAGTCCTCTTGCTTCTGCCTCCCAAAGTGCTGGGATTACAGGCATGCGCCACCATGCCCATCTAAGAAAATATTTTTATGTTAAGAACCATGCATAGGTATAATTATTATTATTCATTATAGGTATAACTAAGAATTAGAAATATACTATACTCTGCAAAATACTTCCAGGCAAAACGCTAATGTAATGTTCTCAACAGGCAATGAACACTAGGGAAAGTGGCAAAGCTTCATCCAGTTTAGGTCTTCAGGATTTTGATTTGCTCCGGGTAATAGGAAGAGGAAGCTATGCCAAAGTACTGTTGGTTCGATTAAAAAAGACAGATCGCATTTATGCAATGAAAGTTGTGAAGAAAGAGCTTGTCAATGATGATGAGGTAAGCACAGTGACAGCTTTATTCCTTCTAGACTGAAGCTATTTAAGATTACTATTTCAGTAACAACTTCAATGTTTGTGCTTTATTTCAGTCTACTTTTTCTAAATATATGCTTCAAACAGATTATATAAGAGATATTTAAAGTAATTTGATTATTAGATTTTTCAAAACTAAAAGTACCAGGGGAAATACGTGAGCTTTTATTTTTAGAGACAGGGTCTCACTCTGTCACCCAGATGAGAATGCAGTGGCTTGATCACAGCTCACTACAGCCTTAAACTCCTAGACTCATGCAATCCTCTGACTTCTGCTCCCACCCCCAGTAGTTGGGGCTACAAGTGTGCGTGCTCAGCTTTTTTTTTTTTGGTAGAGATGGAGCCTTGCTCTGTTGCCTAGGCTGTTCTTGAATTCCTGGACTCAGGCAGTCCTCCTGCCTTGGCTTCTCAAAGCCCTGGATTTCGAGTTGGAGTCACTGCGCCCAACCTAGTACTTGAGCTTTGTAAAAGTTTTCTGTGCTGTTTCATGATATTGAAAGATTTACTAGTGGTGTTTTGCTCTTTGCATATAAGTTGTTGTTAGGTGATTAGCAATGGTTTTGCTATTTAGCCTAGTTAGTTAACATACACATTTGTGATACTTGAATTGCCAAGAGCAAATTTATCATTAGTTTTGATGATATCTCATTTTGACATAGTTTTTTTGTATTTGATAATAGGATATTGATTGGGTACAGACAGAGAAGCATGTATTTGAGCAAGCCTCCAATCATCCTTTTCTGGTCGGACTGCATTCTTGCTTTCAGACAGAAAGCAGGTAAGGTTGAAAGACAATGGAATGATTTCTGAGCTTCATACAGTTGAGTGTATTGCACAATAAGAAGAACCTTCTGCTGTGATTCATGAAGTAGAAGCCAGGAAAAAGGACACAACAGTGCTATGCTTATAACTTTCTGCTACTCATACTCCAGTCAGTGATAACAATTTGATATTAGATTGCATTAGAAAATGACCTGCTTTAGGCAAAAAAAGAAATAGGCAGGTCATAATTATGGAAGTAGAAATCCAACCTTTTAAATATCCCCAGGATTCTAGATTTATAACCTAAAGTTTCCCAGAGTTTACTTTAACTGGGGGGAAAAGAATCATAGCTTCTTTACCTTAAGTGACAGTTGGAAATAACTCATTAGCAAATGCAAAAATTGGGGTGGGAATGAATAGTTCTGGTTGGCAAGTAGTACTGCTTTAGAAGAGAAGTAACTGGTTACAGGATGATCATCATGCTGCTTTACTTTTTCATAAACCCTTTGCTTCCACCATATTTTTGGCATCTTTCTAAAGGCTAAATCCTAGCGAATGCTCTTTACATTGTGACTGGCTTCTGAAGTATTTAAAACATGAAGTTATGCTACCTTATTTTGGTTCTCGATTTCATGGTTTTCTCCTGTGTTTTAGGTTGTTCTTTGTTATAGAGTATGTAAATGGAGGAGATCTAATGTTTCATATGCAACGACAAAGAAAACTTCCTGAAGAACATGCTAGGTAAGTTTTTTGTTTATTGTGTTTGTGTTGAGTATTTGTGGCTATGTGACTTTTTATGTGCAATGATTGAAAACTGGATAATTTATTTTGATGCTAGTTAGTTCTTTGTAAGCCATGTGGAGACTGAGCTAAAAGTTAATGTGCATTATGATGTTTGATATGGATAAAACATTATATATTATAGTTGTTATACATAGTGCTTCCTAAGCAATTGAATAGTGTAAACAGTATTAAAGGGGAAACGTTAGTTTACTAAAACCAATTATTTTAAAATGTTTTGTCTATTCAACATCAGCCACTTAAATACGTAATTGATAACAGGTTTGGTGTTCCCTTTGACAGTCTTTCTTTAGAAGAGTACTATTCATCTATAAGAATAAGAATAAGAAAACAATTCCCCTTGAACTAGATTATAATTTCTAAATTATTCTGTGGCTTTTTTTTCACTCCAATCCTAAATAACTGTTGATGAATACAAGAGAAAAGTATTAATTTTGTGCCCTTAATTTGATATTAATGTATGTGATTGTAAATTGCTTATACTTTGGAAAAGATAGGTGGGGAGGGATCATGGTCTTGAATAAATAGTTTGGATTCATTAGAATCCGTGTTTTGTTTTGTATTCATAATCAGCAGTAAATCTCTCACCCTTTCCTACTTCACAAGAGTAGTACCAAAATGAAGAATATGTTTGTACATGTATATAATTAGTAAGTAGGGAGCAAAGGTTAGATATTTTATTTTAAATATATATGTTTAACAACTATTTTATATTTATGTAAAATGTATGTATATATATTTTAAATGTAAAAATAGGATCTCACTATGTTGTCCAGGCTGGTCTCAAACTCTTGGTCTCAAACAGTCTTTCTGCCTCAGCTTCGCCAAAGTGAGCCCACCCTGCCTGGCCTGAGATTTAATTTTTTAAAACAACTTATTTAGTGGAAGTTTTGATAGCTATTGTTTTTTGTAAAAAAAATAATAATACTTAATTTCTTAAGAAGACGTAAATTGTAATCATTTAATCTTGGGGCCAAGCTGGTTTTTAAATTTGTTGTTCATTTATGTTCACTGTGTATTTAAGCTTTTTCAAATAGTCACTCTTCATAGCAAGTAGATAATATCTTGAATTGTGAACATAGCCAATATTTATTCCTTTTTTGTTCAGTTGGACTTGGATACTAGTCTGGTTTCAACTATATTAAAAAGTGTCAAAACTAGCCAGGCGTGGTAGCCTATGCCTGTAGTTCTGGCTATACTTGGAAGACTGAGGCGGAAGGATTGCCGGAGCTCAGCAGGTCGAGGCTGTGGTGGCCGGGAGCGGCCACTGCACTCCAGCCTAGGTAACAGAGTGAGACTCCAACTCAAAAGATGAAATAAAATAAAGTGTCGGTTTGGGCTTTATGCCATCTTTTTCTAAGAACTGAAACACACAGTAAGGGCTCAAGTTCCATAGTCATAGCGCAGTTAAGTCACTGGAAGGTGCATGTTATGTGCTGGGTGTGGTCATGATAATGTGCCACCAAAGTGGCCACAAACCACCATGGTGTTGTATTTTCATTGCTCAGGCCAAAAATGGTGCTTATCACCAGTGAGTTGGGGCAGCTTTAAAAAGTTTTTTCTTTGATCTTGGATTTTACCGTTGTAGAATTGTTTCATTTAATTTCTTTTCGGAAACCTGCCTGTGGGTTTTGTGGTTTTGAGCCGTCAGCGTTGAGTATTCCTTCTATCCTCGACCCGTCAGTGGGTCTCAGCCTTGTAAGGGCTTATTGGTGCCCAGAGGAATGGTGAAAACTGCGGGGACACTCTAGAAAGTGCAAGTGTACGTGCGTCATTCGGCTTTGCCACCCGTCACAGGAGCAAGGGCTGCCTGCCGTCCGTGCGGCTAATTTTTTTATTCTCTTTTTCTCGGGTATTCTGGTGCTTATTGGGGACCAGAAGACCCAAGTCTTTGATTTTAGTTGTAGAGATGAGGTCTCACCAAGTTGCCCAGGTTGGTCTGGAACCTTGGGCTCGGGCAGTCCTCTCATCTCGGCCTCCCCTGCTTGAGACTTCCACAGTAATAACTTGAATATGTCTTTAAAATCAGTCCCTAAAATCACTGAGAGGAAGAAAAATCTTTTATGTGACCTTTATGTTTTCAGTCGCAAGTGTGGGACTTCAATATCTTCAAATTAAATGACTTGTTTTTTGTTTTAGGTTTTACTCTGCAGAAATCAGCCTAGCATTAAATTATCTTCATGAGCGAGGAATAATTTATAGAGACTTAAAACTGGACAATGTATTGCTGGACTCCGAAGGGCACATCAAGCTCACTGACTATGGCATGTGTAAGGTGAGGAAGGTTTTCTAGTTGTTACGAAGGCCTCAGCAGCTCATAAAAGTGTCTTTTGTGGGATGTGTTCATGTTTACAGATGGGGAAATGATTGGTACTTGGTTTAGGGAGCTTTCTGGCATTCTGGCGCAAAGACAGATATGCTTTATTCCTAACCATTTGCCGAATTCCATGTCCCCTGTCTTAGATGGACTTCACTAACCGTTTCTTCTTACTGTCTGTGACCTTTTAAGACAACTGGAAGATAATTGTTGTCTGCCATCCCGCTGCTTTAGCGTAGTCACTTGCATTTCATCTTTCTGTTTTTGCATTTTAGGGGTGACTCTTAAATAATGCATTTAGGGTGTTCCTCGGAAGTCTAACATTTTTCATATTTAAAATTTAAATGTCTGACAAAGTACAGTATATTAAAATAAGAATTTTAGCCCGGGCTCGGTAGCTCAGTCCGTAATTCCAGCGCTTTGGGAGGCCGAGGTGAGTGGATTGCCTGAGCCCGCGGGTTCGAGACCTGCCTGGGCAATTTGACGAGGCCTCATCTCTACAATAAATCAAAAATTAGCCAGGCGTGGTAGCGTGCGCCTGTAGTTCCAGTTACTTGGAAGGCTGAGGCGGAAGGATCACTGGAGCCCAGCAGGTCGAGGCTGCGGTGGCCGGGAGCGGCTGCTGCACTCCAGTCTGGGCGACAGTGAGACTCCAACTCAAAAAAAAAAAATATTTGACTTTGACTCTCTTGGTAGAGAGGGTTTTAAGTGACAATAATAAAGGAATCTTCTAATTCTCAAGAGAAAATAAAACCGAACACAAAATTTGAAGATATTAACCTTGTTAAAAAAGTATACAGATGAAAACAGTAAGACCTTTTTTTTGCCTGCCAGATATTGGTTTTAAAATAGAATAGTCTGTATTTTATAAAATGCAGTGGATATTTTCATATATCATTGTGGATGTGTAAATTATTACAACCTTTTCAAAAAAAGTTTTATGGGAATGTGTCAGGAATCTTAAAGATGTCTATATTCTTTTAACCTATATTTCTGCCTCCTGGATATCTGAGTAATATTTTAGTTTATAAGAAGTTTCTGCTGTGTGCAGTGGTTCACGCCTATGATCCCAGCACTTTGGGAGGCTGAGATGAGAGGATTGCCTGAGCCCACGGGTTCAAGACCAACCTGGGCAACTTGGTGAGACCTCATCTCTACAATAAAAATTAAAAAATTGGGCCTCCCGGCCCCCAATAAACACCAGAACACCCAGGAAAAAGAAAAATAAAAAAATTATTAAAAAATTAGCCAGGCGTAGTGGTGCATGCCTGTGGTTATGGCTACTTGGAAGGCTGAGGCAAAAGGATTGCCTGAACTCAACAGGTTGAGGCTGCAGTGGCCATGAGTATGCCACTGCCCTCCAGCCTGGGCAACAGAGTGAGACTCCAACTAAAAAAAAAAAAAGTTTCTGACCAAAATTTTTATTGTAATTTGTAACAAATATTATAAAGCCATCTAAGACCACATTTACAAAAATGCATATCAGTATAAAATGTTTATATTATAACATTAAGTAAAATCTTAAAGTATAGCATTATCTAATTCTATCATGCATTGATTCTGTTTGCTTTTCCATGTTTAAGTTATTATAATGACCTTGCATTTCTTTCTTTCTTTTTTTTTGAGTTGGAGTCTCACTCTGTCGCCCAGGCTGGAGTGCAGTGTCACATTCGCAGTCACTGCAGCCTCGGCCTGCTGGGCTCAGGTGATCCTTCCGCTTCAGCCTTCTAAGTAGCTGGAACACAGGCACGCTCCACTATGCTTGGCCCATTTTTCTTGATTTATTGTAGAGATGAGGTCTCGCCAAGTTGTCCAGACTGGTTTCAAACCTGTGGTCTCAGGCAGTCCTCTCGCCTCAGCCTCCCAAAGTGCTGGGATTATAGGCATGAGCCACCACACCCAACTTACCTACAAACAATTTTTTATTGTTTCTTAAACAATAAAAATATAATCACAAAAATGAGTCCTTCTTTTTCCCAGCCTTTGTTCCTCATTGAAGAAGAATGTTGGCTTATTGTACATTCTCCTTCTTCACAGGGATCCTCAGTCAACTTTGTCAGGGTCTTTGACAAATCTCAGAGACCTTTTTTAGCAGGTCTTTCAGTTAGTTGTGCTGCCTGCTCCCTCTCGACCTTTCCGTCTTCTTCAGAAGCTGCCTAGTTTCCTTAGTGAGAAAAGACTCAAGGATAGTAACTTTTCTGCTCAGAGACTTTACTGACAGTCCTTTGTCTCTTCTCTCACTAGTACGTTTACACCCTTATGTTGAAGTATGAAAATTTGTGGCACACTAGCCCTCTGAAAGTTTGGATGTCTCTATCTTATGACTTAGAGTCAATATTTAAACTTACCTAAGTTCTGGCAGGGCACGGTGTCTCACACCTGTAATCGCAGCATTTTGGGAGGCTGGAGGCTAAGGCAGGAGGGTTGCTTGAATCCAGGAGTTTGAGACCAGCTTAGGCAATGCAGCGAGACCTCATCTCTACAAATAACAAAAACAATTTCAGGCAGTGTTATGTGCCTATAGTCCCAGCTGCTGTGGAGGCTTAAGCAGAAGGATTGCCTGAGCCCAGGAGGTTGAGGGTGTGGTGAGCCGTGATCATGCCACTGCACTTCTCAGCCTGGGCAACATAGTGAGACCCCAACTCAAAATAAATTAAATAAATAAGCTGACCTAAAGTATGACCTCATATAAATATTGGATGAGTTCCTTTTGCTTGTAACAATTCATTGGTAAATCAGAAACACTAAATTTTTTTTCTTAACAGTTTCTTCAGAAATACTTCCTTCAGGTTTACTTTCTTCAGGTTCTCACTAGATGCTTTTTTTATTAAGACAGAGGTAGTGATGAAAACATGAATTAATACCTTCAGATTTATGTTTGAAACATTTTATGAACATTATTTTTATTGAGGGAAAAACCTTAGTAGTTTTATGAATTGATACGCCTTTAGCTCTCGTTTTTCATCAGTAGGGAAATTTTAATCAGTTATACTGTAGGTAGTTTATCTAATGGGCTTATATTCACATATTCAGTCCAACAATAAATGATTTAGCATAGCTCTGTTACAAGTTAATAGACTGTATATCTTTTGCCTCCAACTATTGTCCTTGAAGGTTATATCTTTTATTGTAAGAATATATTATAAGCCACTGCTCATATAATACTTCAGTCACATTCATGTTTTTTAGTGTACAAAACTAGCATGTAATATCCCTATTAGAAACTATTTTTTAAAATCCTTGGAGTCACAACATACTACTAAATATTTCTTCAAGATGTTTACAGCTGTATTAAATAAAATAGGGTAAAATTTGAATAACTATGTCTGTAGAGACACATAAGAACCTCATAATAGTGGTTGCTTTTATTCAGCTGTTTTTAGACTTTTTTGTAGTTGATTTTATATTTAATTGCCTGTGGCCAGAGAATGATTTGAATGTGAGCAGTTCTTTGAAATACATTGAGATTTCCTTTAAGACTTATTAGTGCCAGGCTCGGTGGCTCAGCCTGTAGTCCCGCGCCTTTGGGAGGCTGAGGTGAGTGGATTGCCTGAGCCCGCGGGTTCGAGACCCGCCTGGGCAGCGAGACCACATCTCTACAATAAGTCAAAAAATCAGCCGGGCGTGGTAGTGCATGCCTGTAATTCTGGCTACTCGGAAGGCTGAGGTGGAAGGATTGCCGGAGCCCAGCAGGTTGAGGCTGCGGTGGCCGGGAGCGGCCACTGCACTCCAGTCTGGGTGACAGAGTGAGACTCCAACTCAAAAAAAAAAAGACTTATTAGTATATAGTCATTATCCCATGTGTTCTTACAAAAGGTATATAGCTGGATGCAGTAGCTCACACCAGTAATCCCAGCCCATTGGCATGCTGAGGCCAGTGGATAGCTTGAACCCAAGAGTTCAAGACCAACCTGGGCTGCGTAGCGAGACCTCTTCTCAACCCCCCCCCACAAAAAAAAAGGATTTACAATCTGTATTTTACATGCAAGGAGTCTCTCTCTTAATGTCTCTGTCTCCCTCTTCCTTCTCTCTGCTTACACGTATGGGCATACATATTCTACTTATATATGTATGTTACATATATTTTTTTAACTCTACTTTTTATCTAAGTCTTTTCTCTGATTACTAATTTTTGGTGTGTGTGATCTGTCTTTCTGATATGAATGTGTTAATCCAATCATGATGGGAGATTGTGAGATTTTAATTTGTCTATTTTTACTTTGTATTTTAAGCCTGTGTTGATAGGCATAGAGAAGTTTGTATTTGTTAAAACTTTTGAGTGATGGTTGCATGTATTATTATGTAGATTATTTTGTAATTCCTCTACTTATGCCTGTTAATGTGTTTGCCTTAATTTTCTCCATCCTATAGCTATTAAAATACAAAACCAAAAAAATGTACCTTAGGGAAAATGACCAGAAGGATAAACATGATATTCTCAACAGTGGTTGTGTTAGGAGGTGGGATTTAAAATACTTCTTTTCCTCATGAAATATGCTTATTTTACTCATAATGAGATTCTTGTACATAAAAGTATTTGAAATGTAATTTTTATTTATGTATTTTTTTTGAGTTGGAGTCTCACTCTGTCGCCCAGGCTGGAGTGCAGTGGCCGCTCCCGGCCACCGCAGCCTCGACCTGCTGGGCTCCAGCGATCCTTCCGCCTCAGCCTTTGGAGTAGCCGGAATTACAGGCATGCGCCACCACGCCCGGCTGATTTTTTGATTTATTGTAGAGATGAGGTCTCGCTGCCCAGGCGGGTCTCAAACCCGCGGGCTCAGGCAATCCACTCACCTCAGCCTCCCAAAGGCGCGGGATTACAGGCTGAGCCACCGAGCCCGGCTTAAAATGTAATTTTTATCTTAATTGAACTGACTTTAGCAACAGCTAATGAGGACAGGGTTTCTTTACGCTCTTTGAAAGTGGCAGTGCATGATTTTGATAATAAAGGCAGCTGTTCTAGTGATATTATTTAAGCTTAATGTTTTGCCTACAAATGCTGAACTTACATGATAGATTAAATAGTAAAGGCGAATTTAAAGCAAGATTTAAAAAATCTTATTCTTTTCTTTCTTTCTCTCTTTTTTTCTTAATAAAAGGAAGGATTACGGCCAGGAGATACAACCAGCACTTTCTGCGGTACTCCTAATTACATTGCTCCTGAAATTTTAAGAGGCGAAGATTATGGTAATAAATCAGTAGGTGGTATTTTAGCTATTGCTAAATTGGGATTGAATACTGTACCGGTTGCATCGTAGTGCATTAAAGCATTTTAATATTGATCTCGTTAATATAAACGGTTGATCCTGTTAAAACCTACAGGAAGTTGCCCAAACTTTGAAGTCAGAGACTTGAGACCTCAGCAGTATTTGGGGGTACAGATCTGAAGAAAAGCTTATTAGTGACAAGCACTAAAGAGTAGCAGCATTGTTCTAAGCTGTTTAAATAAGTCAGCCAAGTTAATTACCTCCATCTGTGACGTCAGTGCCGTCGGTTCCCGTTTCCCAGAAACGGACACACAGAAAGCCGAATGCCTTGGCCAGAGTCGCCCAGCTAGGCGGCGGCAGAGCAGGGATGCAGTCCAAGGCCGTGCGACTCCAGAGGTGTGGCCGTCCGCAGAGGGTCGGTTCCCTGCGGCCTTTCCCCTGGGAATCCAAACGCGGTGGAAAGATTAGCTGCTTCTCGGGAACTAGAGGACGCAGTGTCCAAAGGAAGCACTGACTTTCTGGCTCTTGGCTCTGATTTCTGAAGCGGTCAAGGAGGACGGAAGCTGCCCGCAGCGTGAACCCAAGGTCCTTCAAAGGTCTGTCGTCAGCTAGCAAAGGACCGAGGCTCTGGCCAACGAGATTGTTCTCTAATACAATTTAATTGTGTCCTCAAAACAGAGTATCAGATGTTAGGCATGAACCTGAAGTTAGAAATACTGGGGAAAAGAAACTTTTCTTTTGTTCCATAATTCTACTTTTCAAGTTACCTTTTAGGTGCCTACCCTTTTTGGTAAGTAAAGTGGTCTTTTTCATTATATTTATTCTTTCATTATGTGATAAGATGAATCTCCAATTACTGACTTTGAAGAATAGGGAGTGGGTGAGTCATTGCTTTGAAATTTCTTTCTGTAGGTTTCAGTGTTGACTGGTGGGCTCTTGGAGTACTCATGTTTGAAATGATGGCCGGAAGGTCTCCGTTTGATATTGTTGGGAGCTCTGATAACCCTGATCAGAACACAGAGGATTATCTTTTCCAAGGTAATCTGTAGTATTTTACAGAAATTCTCTGTTTAGAAACTAGAATACAGGTGAGGGTGATACTACGTTGACTAAGAAAAACGAGAATAATCTGGACAATATGCTTCACACTTAACATATAAAGTTTTGATTTAAAAAAAAAATACATCCTTTCACCTTTGAGGTCTTCAGTCCTGTTCACAGTTGCTTTCTTGTACTCAAAATCATATCTAAAGAGATACCTTTAGATAATTTATCACAATAGAGATTGGAGGGTGAAAACCTGTGGGTAGAGAGGACAGTCTTTACACATGGACCCCAAGGCTGAGTACAGAAGTTTCAGAACAGTAACGGGGGATAGTAGACAATGAAAAAGATAGAAGAGATCAAAAGATGGGAGGGAGGGCCCCACACTGGGGAATTCGAAGAATTGACAGAAGCGAGCAGACAGGGACGTCTCGCACACAATCCAAAGAACCGTGGAAGCTGCCTTAAAATTCTCCACTTAGTAATTAAAACCATCACAGGATTTGAATAGGCTTTTCATATATTAGGAAACCCAAACGTCGGTGGAATATGTGAAAAGACATTAAGTCTCACTGATGATTGAGGGAATGCACACTAAAACGTTAACGAGCTAGCATTTCCTACAGTACCTTTGGCAAAAACTTTAGGGTCTGACAGTATCAGTGCTGATAAGGATGTGGAGCACCCGGAACCCTCACAGACTGCTGGCAGGAATGAAAATGTACACAGCAGCTTTGAAGACTGATTTAGCCATGTCCAGTAAAATGGAATGTTATATATGCCAGGCGTTTTACAAATATTAACTCTTTTAGACCTCATATTCCTGTGAAGCTGCAGTTAATTTTATACCTATTTTACAGATGAGAAAACTGAGGCACAATAAGGTAGGCAAGAATAGACCATGCATCTAAATGATAAATACAGTGTTCAGATTTAGAGCTGTCCCTGAGAAGCAGGGAGGGGAAGGGGGCTGAGAAAGTGTATGAGGGTATTGTCTCTGCTGGAATGCCTTAAATGTCCATAATAGAAATTTGAAGATTAAAGCCATGCAAAACTTAAATATTATACCATAATTTTTGTCTTTCTAGTTATTTTGGAAAAACAAATTCGCATACCACGTTCTCTCTCTGTAAAAGCTGCCAGTGTCCTGAAAAGTTTTCTCAACAAGGTATAAATTATGTTTAAAATGTTTTTGTGATTTGTCTCTGTCTATGTAAATCAAACTGGTAAGTAGAGGTTCAGGCAACCTAAAATCCCAAAACAGCAGAGTCTGTGACCTTTACATTTTGGTCTGGAATTTGCCTCTTAACCAAAGAGGAGCTGACAGTATTAAATCCTGAGGTGGTCATTCTTTCCATTTTGGTAACATGATTCCCCCTGCTATACATTTCACATGAAGTCTTTTTTTTTTTTTTTGAGTTGGAGTCTCACTCTGTCGCCCAGATTGGAGTGCAGTGGCCGCTCCCAGCCACCGCAGCCTCGACCTGCTGGGCTCCGGCGATCCTTCCGCCTCAGCCCTCCAATTAGCTGGAACTACAGGCACGCACTACCACGCCTGGCTAATTTTTGATTTATTGTGTAGATGAGGTCTTGCCAAATTGCCTAGGCGGGTCTCAAACCCACGGGCTCAGGCAATTCACTCACCTCAGCCTCCTAAATCACAGGATTACAGGCTGAGCCACCGAGCCCGGCTTGAAGTTTTTAACGTAAGTGATATATAACCATATTCTCAATTAGGGGAAAGTGGAATCTTTGAGATTAATCACAATTGCACTTTCAACTTTGCTTTTCCATTTTCTCTGTATTATTAAACCTAGAGTCTATTTGTCACCATATACTTTTTGGGCAGTAGTGCACCTTACAAATTCTTGTATCAAAAGGGCTATAATTAGATACAATTCAGAAGTGAAATACTGTCTTCAGGTCCTAAAAATCTGAATGTCACTCAATTGTTTCTTGTACTTGATAGGGTAGAGTGTTTTGGGGTATAAGAGTATGGTCATGGTCATCATGAATTCTACTTTAAATAAATGGCAAGATAGAATGGTCAGTGTGCATTTATCCTCCAAGGTCAGTAGATAATGATGAATTTTTGGGGGGGAGGTTTGAGTCAGAGTCTCACTCTGTTGCCCGGGCTGTAATGCAGTGCCACGTACACTCCCCCCGCAGCCTTGAAATGCTGGGCTCAGCCTTTCAAGTAGCTGGAACCAAGGGTGTTCCCCACCATGCCCAGCTAATTTTATGGTTTAATGTAGAGACGCGGTCTCTCCATGTTGCTCAGGCTGGTCTCGAACCCCTGAACTCAGGCAATCCTTTTGCCTCTGCCTCACAAAGTGCTGGGATTACAGATGTGAGCCACTGTACCCAGCTGATGAACGTTCATAAAAGAAGAAATTGGAGCTTATTGGTTTTTAGGGTTTTTTTCTTTCTTTTTTTTTAGAGACAGGTCTCACTCTATCACCCAGACTAGAGTGCAGTGGCATGATCGTAGCTCACTCTGGGCTCAAGTGGATCCCCCCACCTCAGCCTCCAGAGTCACTGGGATTATGGGCATGTGCCACCAGGCCTGGCTAATTTTTTTTTTAATGTTTTTATAGAGACAAAGTCTCACTGTATTTCCCAGACTGGTCTCAAAATCCTGGCCTCAAGCAGTCCGCCTCTCTCGTCCTCCCAAAGTGCTGGAATTGCAAGCATGAACCACTATGCCTGGCCAAGCTTATTTTAAATGAATACTTTATGTGAGAAAAGATTTGTGCCTGAAACCTAATTTTTCACACAGTGAAAAATGAAGGCAAGAGGTTTTAATATGCAAAATAGAATGCCTTTTATCAGAAAGAAAAATAGGAATATGTTCCCATTCACGATAATGACTAAGCCAAGACTTTTTATAAATTGCAGGCTCCTTGTCAGTCCACCGATTCACATAACGGCTGTGTCACTGTCTTATACAGATGATGATTTGTTGCCGTGATTAGGCACAGGGCCTTCACGCTGAGCTGAAAACAAGCTTGTAGTTTGTGGGTCTGTGTGTTTTGACAGTCGCTCTGGCTCCGGCAGAGAAGCGGTGGGGTGCTGCTCCGGCGATCCTGCTGTTCTCTTTTCCCGTCTCCCGTTTTCCTTTTGCAAAGAGTGGTGGTGACACTCGGTTTTAATTGCATGATAGCTGGAGAATGAACTGTGAAGAAATTTTATCTGTCACAGGCTTCAAATAACTCAACTTGGTCTGGAGTTGTACTTTCTAGAACAAAAGGTAGACCCTTCCAACTTCAAAAATAAAGCTGTCGTGTCTTAGGCAGAAAACACAGGTCCCAAAAAACGATTTATTTTAAAGCATGGCATTTACTCAATTCTTGAAACATTTCTTTCGCCCTAGGACCCAAAGGAACGATTGGGTTGTCACCCTCAAACAGGATTTGCTGATATTCAGGGACACCCATTCTTTCGAAATGTTGATTGGGATATGGTATGTAAATTTTGATTACATTTATCTTGGGCCAAATTTTATTGTTTTAAAGACTAGCCTAACACACCTTAAGTAACTTAAAACCACTCTCTTGTGTACTTTAAAAAAAACTTTTAAGACAAACAAAAAAATATTATTGTAACAGAGCAGGTTGTGATATTATTGAGGCCCGTATCAGTGTTTACATTTGTAAATTATGTTCATCATTGTTAATATCATAGAACCATGCCTAGGGATCACTTTTAAAAACACAGAGCATCTGAGGGTGGGCGAGAAATGTAGAATTTTTCTAAGAGTGCAGACTTGAGCTGTCATTCACTGTCTTTGTAGATGGAGCAGAAGCAGGTGGTACCTCCCTTTAAGCCAAATATTTCTGGGGAATTTGGTTTGGATAACTTTGATTCTCAGTTTACTAATGAACCTGTTCAGCTCACTCCAGACGACGAGTAAGTAATGCTGTACACTGAAGTAGTTTTAATGTTCTTTGAAGACCCTGTTTTCAGTAGCTCTACAGTGTTTTATTATCGGATTATACATAATCGATGAAACCATTCAGTTACTAGCTGTTTGAATCCATTACACTATTACAGGTTTTAGCAGCTGCTGTCGTTATTTTCCACTTTGCTTTACATGCATTATCTCTGATTCTCACAGCAACCTTGTAAACTAGTTATTGCCATCTTTGTTTTACACATGAGGAAACCAAGGCTCAGAGAGGTCAAGCAAAGCCACACAGCTGTCGGGTGGCAGTCAGGATTCAAACCCGAGTCTGGCTGACTGAGGCCGGTGCTCTTTCCCCTACGCGGCCCTGTCTCCCGTTTTGGTGACGACCAGCTTTGTCTGACTTCTGGGTATTCCTTAAGATGGAGTCCTAGGAAGGGATTAGGCCAGAGGGTATGAAAAGTTTCGAGCTCTTATATGTATTGCCAAGGTGTTTTTTTTTTCTTTTGAGTTGGAGTCTCACTCGATTGCTCAGGCTAGAGTTCAGTGGCATATTCACGGCCACTCCAGCGTCCACCTGCCGGGCTCCAGAGGTCCTTCTGCCTCAGCCTTCCGAGTAGCCAGAACTGCAGGCATGTGTTACCACCCCCGGCTAATTTTTTATTTATTGTAGAGACGAGGTCTCACCAAGTTGCCGGGACTGGTCTCAAACCCACGGACTCAGGCAGTCCACTCACCTCAGCCTCCCAAAGTGCTGAGATTACAGGCTGAAAATTGCTTTTTAAAAAAGGTTGCATCAAGTTCTTAAATCCAGCCAGCAAGATCTGAAATAGTTTTTGTGCTTATGCTGCATCTTTTAAACGAAGTTTAGAATAAGTTGGGGATCTTGTGATCATTTGCCTCTCATTGCAGATTCATTCTCCCTCATCTCAAGGAGGGCCCTTCCTGTTGGCAGTCGTTTTACTCTGCCTTCTTTCTCAGCACATGCCTCACAGCAGCTGTCCCGAGCAGTCTCTGCCTTTGGAAGCCTTCCGCCCGCCCTGCCTCGACACCCTCAGTGCATTGACTTGCCCTGAGTGGCTGCAAGGGGGAGCCCTCTGGTGTGAACGCACTTCCTTTCCCGACCACTTGCCCTCAGAATGCAGGCTCTCCTCGCCTCCCGGCGTCCAAGGTCCTCCTCCCTTGGACGCTCTCCCTCTGTGGGGGAGGGCCCCTCCTGTCCGCCCAGCCCTGCTTCCTCTGCGTCCTCCTTTGTCCCTGGCCTCCTTCCTTACTCCGCCTTCTTTGATTTGTGTCTTCCAGCTTCCTTCCTTCTGTCTGTAAGCGAGCTCAGACGCCTGGAATTTTCCCCGACTCCTGGCCCCTCTCTGAACCACCAGATTTCCCCCCTCATTTTCATTTCATCTTCAGGCTTTTTAAAAAATAGGAGATGCTCAAGAAAAATAAACACGCACCAGCCCAGTATTAATTGTCTTGCATTTTTTCTACTGCCAACACTTTAACCCCTTACAGTGTAAGCTGCTCCTTCAACCTTTTTTTTTTTTTTTTTTGAGTTGGAATCTCACTCCATCACCCAGGCTGGAGTATAGTGGCCCACTCACGGCCACCCCAGCGTCCACCTGCTGGGCTCTGGCGATCCTTCCGCCTCAGCCTTCCAAGGAGCCGGAACTATAGGCATGTACTACCACACCTGGCTAATTTTTTATTTATTGTAGAGACGAGGTCTCACCAAGTTGCCCGAGCTGTTCTCGAACCCGCAGGCTCAGGCAATCCACTCGCCTCAGCCTCCCGAAGTGCTGGGATTACAGGCTGAGCCACCGAGCCTAGACTTCTTCAGCTTTTAAAGGTTGTACCGGTTTCTCTTTTTTTTTGAATCGGAGTCTCTGTCACCCAGGCTGGAGTGCAGTGGCATGCTCATGGCCACCACAGCCTCGACCTGCTGGGCTCCGGCGACCCTTCCACCTCAGCCTTCCAAGTAACTGCAACTACAGGCGTGTGCCGCCACGCCCAGCTAATTTTTTTATTTATTATAGAGATAAGGTCTCACCATGTGGCCCAGACTAGTCATGAACCCATGGGCTCTGACAATCCTCTCTCCATGGCCTCCCAAAGTGCTGGGATTACAGACACGAGCCACTGTGCCGGGCCATGTTTTCTTAATTTCTAGTTTGTAGAGCATTTTTTGGTCAGTCTTTATCTGCCTGATGTCTGTAGAGCATTCGATGCTCATAGCCTTGCCTTGGGCAGTACTACCTGGTTCTGCCTCACCTCTGTGATCACTTGTCCATCACCTGTTTCCCGTCCTTAGAGACCAGGATGCCCCATGGTTCTGTTCATGACAGTCTTCTGCTATGTGCAGTTTGTACCTTGGAGACTTCAGCCAACCCTGTACCATGGATACCAGCTATTTAAATGGCTCTCAGCTAAACTAGCACGTTAGTTATTGAGCAGAAGGCACTATGCTAAGTACTATATATTCAGAGACAGCCCAGTCTCTCAAAAAAAGTGTCCTGTCTGCTAGAGGAGAGAGAGATGTACCAAGGCATTATTTCTGACAGTGTCGTGTATCAGAAAGAGCACTGGATTAAATCAAAGATAGGAGCTTGAATCCCGATGCCACCTCTTACCACCTGCGTGACCTTGGACATGAATTGCATAACTTCTCTGAGCCTGTTTCTTCTCACTTTGGCTGCCTCACAAGGTTGCTATGAAGAATAAGTGAGCGATGGTTTCTGAAGCACTTAGCCTCTGCCCTGGTGTGTCCTGAGGTGCGTTTCCCTCTGCTTGCTGAAAATTTTCTCTGGCTTGCCAGACATACGCCTCAAATGCGTGAAGTCCAAGATCCAAGTCGTGACCTTCTGGGGTCTCTTACAGCTGTCTCAGTCCGCTCGTGATTTTATTGACATTTTTCTGCTCCTTGTGCCACCATGTGTTCCTGTCATTCAGATTTGAAATGTCAGTGATTGTTGACGCCTCCTTTTCCTTAACCAAATTGAGTGATGACCGGGCGTGGCAGCTCAAGCTGGGTCATCCCAGCATTTCGGGAGGCCGAGGCAAGAGGATTGCCTGAGCCTGCAAGTTTGAGACCAGCCTGGGGAACATGGTTAGACCTCATCTCTACAACAATTCAAAAAACTGGCCGGGCATGGTTGCGTACGCCTGTAGTTGTGGCTACTTGGAAGGCTGAGGCAGAAGGATCACCTGAGCCCAGCAGGTGGAGGCTGCGGTGGCCGTGAGCATGCCACTGTACTCCAGTCTGGGCAGCACAGTGAGACTCCAACTCCAAAAAAAACATTTTGGATAATACCTGCAGTTGCCAGTCTTTGTCCTTTTTTTCTTTTTTAACGTCGCCATTCACTCGCCATTCGCATCAGATCCTTTTCTCTTCCCGCTGCCCTCTCTCCAGGTCAGGTGTCATTCAGAGCACACCTGGAGTATTTGTGGCAGCCCGTTCTGTAGGCCTCGTGCAGCGCCACTTCCACTCTTCAGCCCTTTCATCTCCCGTGACTCCTGGACTGCCAGCAGATAACTGCTGTCCTCTTGGCTAGTGTTTAAGGCCTCCCTCATCTGCTCCTGCCTGACTGGTCGCCACGTCTCTCGCCATAGCACAGCCATGCTCTGATCAGCCTCAGCCAGTCAGCATCCCCTGATGTGACAGCATCCTTCTCTCTGCCTCTGCTGCTCATCCCTCTCCTCTCCTCCTTTGTTGTCACCTGTGGAATCGTCCCACCTTCGCGGGCAGGTCTTTGGGGGATCCCAGTGAGACTCCCCGGTGTAAACCTGGCTGGCTTCTTTGATCTAGCCGCTGCCTTCGCTGCAGCACCATCGGCCACTCAATGCCTTTCTGTTCTGGGCGTCAACTCGAATGAGTAACTTGGTTTCCTCAAACCCACCACAGTCCTCCCTATTTCCGTTCGTTGTGTGGTTGTGCAGTGAATGCTGCCTGCCCTGATTTCTCGAGCTAGAAGTAACCTCCCTTTTTAGAACTGTGGTTGGAATAGGACTTAGCTTATTGTGAATAGAATTCAGCAGGTGCTGCTTTCTCTTGTAGCCTTCTGGTCTATGAGTTACCTCCCCTCCTTGAAGGAAGGGACTATATCCCTGTAACTTTGTGTCCACTGTGTGGCATTTACTTTTGTGTATTAAACATTTGTTTTCGAGTCCGCCTCTCTCTCACTGTGTGTTAAACTCGAATTCCGGTGTCACACTGCCCACCTCTCCACTCTCTGAGACGCATCGTCTCCCTGTGGTGGTCTCTCAGTGTGCTTGTTCCTCTCGCCTTTTCCTTTTGGCTAACTTCTTCTGGGCCGTCGCTTCACCGTCTTCCATCTGGCTGTTGAGGGGACTGCCAGGTTGAATACCAGTTCAGTCCTGGAGATTCCCTGATACTTAAGAGTGTTGTTGGGGTCAGAAGTTAAGATTGTGCCTTTTTTATTCCCAGTTTTCAGTTTTGAACTGCCTTTGGGCTCTAAGCTCGCTTTGAGATTATTAGTCTGTTTTTGATTTTCAGTACTCGTTATTCCTGATTTTTCTAGAAAATTTTTGGGATTACTCTAAGAATTTATAAACTTTTCCCAAAGTGTATATGCGATTAGCCTTATTTTTTGTTTTTTAATCTTGTTTTGCCATTTAAATTAAAGGTTGAAGAAACTTGATTATGATGAAAATAAATGTATTTTTCTTTCAACAGTGACATTGTGAGGAAGATTGATCAGTCTGAATTTGAAGGTTTTGAGTATATCAATCCTCTTCTGATGTCTGCAGAAGAATGTGTCTGATCCTCATTTTCCAACGATGTGTTCTGCTCATGTTGCCACTTAATGCATGGATAAGCTTGTTACCAGCCTGGATACAATTAGTCGTTTTTATTTGCCACCCATCAAAAAGGAAAGCCCCACTCAGTCTCTTATTGTAGACTATGAGAGTCGCTATTACATCTGTTTAACTGTGAAAAAGAAATTAAAACTAGCTTCCAGACAATCATATCAAAATCTAGTTACACTGGTTTTTCATTTTTTAAAGGCCTACTAATGAAGTTATCTTTTTGTTTTAAAAAAAGACCACTGCTTTTAAAAGAAAGTATCTGTTGCATTAAGGCACATAGTGGGATCATGACATAAGCCCATAATTTTTGTCATTCTGTGTTGTCATTTGAAGGTTTAATTTTGAAATAAAAGATTAATTCAAAATTCAACTTTTTATATTACCTATTAGTTTTGGAGTTCTTTCTGTTTAAAAGTTCAACCGTTAAGTCTTATCATTGCCTCGGACAAATAAATTAATTGATTTTTAAGGCAACCATTGTTAAATTGATGATAAAAGATGTTGCTTGCTTAGATTTGGGGAATACAGATTCTTCTTTACTAGAAAGTACACGCATTTTATTAAGAATCAGAATCCAAATCATTAGCTATTTTTGCAAAACTGGCTTATGTGATTTTTTTTGCTACATTAAGGGAGTAGTTTCTGAGCTTTTCCCTTTACTGAAAACTGTTACTGGGATGTTAATATATACAGTGCAGAAGACACAGGATGCAGCTGAATAGAAAATCACTCAGTATATAAAAAGGAAAATCAGAAATTTAAAATGGATACAGAAGAGTACAATGGTAATATTTTTTATTTCTTATTGGAGAGTGAATTCCACAGTTGATTTTTTTTTTTCACTTGCTTTAAATAATGAAACACTTGTTATTACCAAACTTGTAAAAGCATTCCATGTATTCATTGGAGGCAGAATGTATATTTTTTCCTTATAATGTAGTATACAGGAAAATAACTTACTTTCTAAGTAGAGTGTCTTAATTATTGTCATTTCTTCCCCCAAAATGTTACTTGTGTGTTTGGACTCCATTTATGGAGTCTGCGATCTGAGAAAAATTATAAAGTAAACATGAATAATTGTTCAGGACACATATATCACAGTTCCAGCTCCTTGCATGGATTTTTATTAAGTAGGTAACACAGGTAATACATAGTAGAATACATTTCAGGGGCAGAGTTATTCAGATTATTTTTTATTAATATTTTTAGCAATTTATTATTTAAAGGGGTGCCAGATACAGCATCCTTTTGTTGTTTTAAAAGTTTTTTTTAAGAAAAGGGACCTAAAAAGTAACCATGAGCATCTAAATTACTTACACGTCTTCAATCTTAGCAAAATTTAATTTTAGAGAAATTATGTACTATTAAATTTAGGAGTATTTAAAATTTGTAGACCTTTAATAGTCTTTTTTTTTTCCTTTTGGATGCTACATTTCATTAAATTTAATTTTTCCCAAGTTTCTGGCCATAAACTCTTTCCTTCAAATAACTTGTCTGAAAGCAATGAAAACCTCGAAGGAAAATGTTTATGTACATCCACATGTTTGTTTAAGAGGTATATATGTTCTCTAAACCTGAAATTTGTTTTAAAACAGAAAGTAGTGCTCACTTCAAATCATAAACTTGTGTTTAAGTGGTGCTGTTTTCCTTAGGGCATTAATTCTCAAATTTTAGAATGTGGAGTAATCACGATTCTAGGAGGTTTGTTTAAAATGCACATTACTTGGCCCACCTCAAAATTCTGTTGGGCCTTTGGCCCCCATTTTGAGAAACACTTTCTTCACGTTACTCTTTGCTTTTGTCCGGCAGTTAAATATTAGACAGACCATCCTTCACCCCTGGGTTTAAGATCAGAATCCATGATGAAACACTTTGAGAAAGCGTAGGCAGTGAGCTGTGACTCACAATTTCAAACAGATTTTGAATGAATGAAGATATTTAAGTTAAATATCTTCCCGGCCCCCCTATAGAATTTCTCGACAGTTTCTACCAGTAATATACAAAAAGATGAGCATTTTTCTATGATGAGGTTTTAACCATTATTCAGGGTGGTGTTTGGGTTCTAGACCTTTTTTCAACTCATAAGATTTCTGTATATATTTTACTCAGAAATACATTATAAATATGTTTTTAATTGTGTTTTCTTTTTTGTAGCCTTTAAAAGTGCCATGCCAATTGTTTTTATATTATATAGAGGTTCTCTCAAAATACTCACCAGGGGACTAGGCAGTGGACAGTCAGAATGGTTGGAATTTTAGTGTTCTGAGAAAAATTTTATTTTGCGTAAGCACGTGGTCAGATCATTTTATGCATATGCAACCCACATTGGACACCAGGTATTATGCTTGTTCGGTACCAGCTCATGTACTTTATAAATTCGTCTTGCTTTTTGTCATATAGAATACTGCCTTGATCATTGTAATGTAGTCTATATTTGTGTACCTTTTTTTTTACTTTAAATTTTTTTAAATAAAATGTTTACTGCCCATCAAGTGTGGACCATTTTTAATATGTAGCATAGCAGAAATTTGTATAAGAATGTAGATATATCAAAATTTGTTCAAGAAAAGTGAGGGTTTTAGGGTTTGAAGTTTTGCTGTACATGAAGGGGCATTCTGGTAGTACTGACGCTGTAGTGTTTACATTTATTAATGTAGACGTGAGTAAAAATCATAAATTAAAATATTCTACGCTTTTTTTTCTTTTAAGCAATAGGATATTGCTCTGTCAACCAGGCCAGAGGGCAGTGGCACAGTCATAGCTCACTGTAACCTCAAACTCCTGGGCTCAAGTGTTCCTCCCTTCTCAGCCTCCCAATTGCTGGGAATATGGGCACGCACCACCATGCCTTGCTAGTTTTTTTGGTTTTGGGGGGTTTTTTTGAGTCAGAGTCTCACTCTGTTCCCAGACTAGAGTGCAATGGCACGCTCCTGGCCACCGCAGCCTCGACCTGCTGGGCTCCGGCGATCCTTCCGCCTCAGCCTTCTAAGTAACCAGAACTACAGGCCCACGCCCAGCTAGTTTTTGATCTGTTGTAGAGAGGAGGTCTTAAGTTGCCCTGGGCGGGTCTCGAGCCTGCAGGCTCAGGCAGTCCACTCGCCTCGGCCTCCCAAAGTGCTGGGTTTAAAGGCTGAGCCACCAAGTCCAGCCATCTTGCTAGTTTTTAAATTTTTTTTTTTTTTTTTTTTTGAGTTGGAGTCTCACTCTGTTGCCCAGACTGGAGTGCAGTGGCCGCTCCCGGCCACCGCAGCCTCGACCTGCTGGGCTCCGGCGATCCTTCCGCCTCAGCCTTCCGAGTAGCGGGAATTACAGGCATGCGCCACCACGCCCAGCTGATTTTTTTGATTTATTGTAGAGATGAGGTCTCGCTACCCAGGCGGGTCTCGAACCCGCGGGCTCAGGCAATTCACTCACCTCAGCCTCCCAAAGGCGTGGGATTACAGGCTGAGCCACCGAGCCCGGCTTTAAATTTTTTTGTAGAGGCATGGGCTCTGTATGTTGCTCAGGCTGGTCTTGAACTCCTGGTCTCTTGAAGCCCTTTCACCTCAGACTCCCAGAGTGCTGGGATTATAGATGGAAGCCACCACACCACCTGGCCCCTGATTTTCTCTTGATTGGTCAGAGAGCAAGGTTTTTTTTTTGTTTTTGAGTTGGAGTCTCACTCTGTCGCCCAGATTGGAGTGCAGCGGCCGCTCCCAGCCACCGCAGCCTCGACCCGCTGGGCTCCGGGGATCCTTCCGCCTCAGCCTTTCGAGTAGCCGGAATTACAGGTGTGCGCTATCATGCCCGGCTGATTTTTTGATTTATTGTAGAGATGAGGTCTCGCTGCCCAGGCGCGTCTCGAACCCACAGGCTCAGGCAATCCACTCACCTCAGCCTCCCAAAGGCGCCGGGATTACAGGCTGAGCCACCGAGCCCGGCAGAGCAAGGTTTTAATATACTTGTCTCTGTTTATTAAAACCATCAAAGTCTGAGCTCCTGTGTCTCCCTATTAATTTTGCCCTCATTTCAACTTTTACTTAAAAGGAGTTACAGCCAGTGTTAAGAAAGTGCTTTTCAGGCTACTCCCTGTATCACATCATAATTTTCTTCTTTTCTGTGAGTTAGTAAAATCCCAAATCAGAGCACAAAAAGGAAATCGAAGCTTTATCGAAATTTTGCATTAAGGCCTTCAGTTACTGGGATAACCAGTTTCTCCCTGAAGGACGAAGCCAGTCTGCAGCCCTTGAAATTCAACAGCCTGATTTCTGGACAGCACCCAGCGGTGAGTCATTAGTGATTAGTGAGAGTCTGATGGTCTTTTGTAGGCTTGTTCTCCTCTGCTCTGGGATTTAAGGGATCAGTTGAGACCCAGATCGTCTGCTTAGTGTGTATCCATAGCTTGTTACTGCAGTATATACTGGAATTTGCTGTACACTGTGCTAAATAAGGCTAAAAAGAGAAGCTCTGTCCTTGACATTCAGCCGAGAATAGACATACTGAGACCATCCTTCACTGCTGGGTATAAGATCAGAACTTTTGTTTTGAGTCAGTCTCACTCTGTCACCAGGCTGGAGTACAGTGGCATGCTCACGGCCACCGCAACCTCGACCTGCTGGGCTCAGGCGATGTTGTAATGGAGAAGCAGAAATTAGAAGTACTAAAGATTAAGTGACTGTTTAGCGTGATCTTTTACAGGATATCTGAAAGCTAGGCTTGAGAAAGTGATGTTTTCGTTGGCCGTTCAGCTTATCAGAAGCACATTCTAATCGTTTAAGAAAGAGCCTATGGAAAGGCTCTAGCAAAGTCCTTAAAAAATCAGATACTTTTTTGTTCCATAAAAGGGAAGTGCTGCGTGATTTCGAGAGGTCGTGCCATGTAAGCAGGTTTGAAACTTGCAAGATATTAACTCTGTAATGTGGGTGGCTACACTTGGTGACTTTGTACATTATTCGTCATATATTTAGGAATAAAATCACGTGAAGGAGGTTAAATACAGACACCTAACTCACATTTCATGGCCTTTTACAGACGTTTTTTGGAATACGATTTTTTTCTAGGTACTGGGTTTTTATTGCAAACAGATTTTTACATTTAAGGGTCATGAAAGAATGCATTTTTGAACGATTTGACTCAAGTTTACCCACTTGGAAACTGCTAACTTTCTGGGGAGTTTTGTTTTTGTTTTTTGAGTTAGAGTCTCTCTCTGTCACCCAGGCTGGAGTGCAGTGGCATGCTCACAGCCACTGCAACCTCGGACTGTTGGGCTCAGGCGATCCTCCCAGCTCAGCCTTCCAAGGAGCTGGGACTACTTTTTCTTTTCTTTTTTTTTTGTGGAGAGGAGATCTTACCTGGTTGTCCAGGCTGGTCTCGAACCCCTGGGCTCAGGCAGTCCTCTCACCTCTGTCTCTAGGATGATAGACAGGAGCCACCACGCCCAGCTGAAATGTTAACCTTCTAATCGGGAAATTTGAGCCAATGTACCAAACATTTGATATCTTGCTACATTATTCATACATTTTTATGAGACTGACATACTGCGCGAAGAAGACACCAACTATTCGTACATTTTTAGGTTTTAAATTTTAATTCATGTATTTACTGGAGATTTTACAATGTGCCTAGCACTATGTTGATTCTGTAGGATTTGGAAAAGTGATATTTTAAGGCTTTTTTTGGTGATATAAGGAATAAATGCATTCCAGAGAAGTTTAAGTTAAAAAGTCTGTGTGTTTATTACTCCTTTCAGTAGGAGATATTTCCCATGATTAAGAGAAAAATGCTCTTGTAAGTCTGTCATACTCAGTGATCTGTCACAGAAACAAAGAACTGAGTACCACATGTTCTCACTCATAAGCGGACCTTGCACAATTATCATGATGCTTTATTTTTTATTTTATTTTTAATTTTTGTTAGTTGGAGTTTCACTCTGGCACCCAGGCTGGAGTGCAGCGGCACGCTCACAGCTACCGCAGCCTCGGCCTGCTGGGCTCCGGCGATCCTTCCGCCTCAGCCTTCCAGGAGCTGGAACCACAGGCACGCG